TCTGAAAGGCCCTGTTCCTGTAGTCTCTGCAGCAATGGGGCTTCCCCTGAACTTGTACTTGAGCTAAACGAAGAAATTGGCTGAGTAAGGGCAGCAGAATTAGGCTCGCAATGTGGAGAGCATTAGAACTGGTTTGGAGGTTATTCTTGCATTGTTCTTGAAACTTAGGCTATTGGGAAAAACCCAGACATTATATATTTCTTGCAGTACAACAGCCCTCAAGCCAGCGCGATCCCACAGACCAGAAGTTCCCCTGCCATCCACGTTCAAATACTACTGACTCCATACTAGGCATTGTCCTAGCAACTCTGCAGCATACAGGGCTTTCATCTGAGGATGCAGTGCATATTTGATTTTAGATGATCAATATTCTCTCTCTCTCTCTGAAAGGACCTTTATGGCCACTTATGTCATACGGATTAACTATTAAAGTGCTACACTGAACACACCCAGACAGAAATAAATCTGGTTGCGGACACAGCAATAAAATTAAGAAAGAATTTTGCCACTCATTCTGCACAAAGACCCCTTTAAATTAATAGTGTTTCTGAAAATAAGAGGAGCCCGCGTGAAATAAGACCTGCAGACCTAATGGGCTTGATGAATCACTCCCCAGTGCCCAGGCCTCCCTTCAAACACAATGTTATCAGGTTAATACAGTACTTGCCTCCCCATCTCTGAGTACCATGCTGAGTAACAAAGCTCCAAATTTAGAAGCTAAAATGGAGAAGGGAATTTCCAATAACCAAAAGGGGGGTTGGGGACCAACCTGTGCAATGCCACACGTTTCCAGTAAAAAGCAACCAGCAGAAATACACTGTTCTTTTTATTCCTCACATGGCCCCTCTCATCATCGCTGTGCTCGGAGAGGGGTCTCCTCCAAGGCAACGTTTTAGGAGGTGGCTGATGGTTGGGAGGGAGAGCTCAGACTCTCCCTTAGAACCCGAGTGGTACAACAGCCACGTCTGGCTTCTGCAGCAGTAAGCCTTCAGTCGGGGGAGGCAGGACCCCGTCCTCTCCCTTACTCCCAGCATGGATGTCACTATGGTAGTTACAATAACCACTGAGGTTGGTTGGTTTCATTTTGCATCCCAAAGCTCAGCCCCCCAAAAGAGGCAGCCTCATTTTACGTCCATGTTGGAGAAAAGCAAAAATCAAAAGAACACGGCCGTAAGCAGACATGCCACCTTCCTTGCAGAGGCTGGGACAGGAGTGCCACCTCCAGTCTCCCAGGCACCCAGGACAGAGATCGGTCTTCTGCACTGAAGAAGGCTGGGCGCCTCGTCCCCTGTATCATCCCCAGAAACACTTACCAGGAGACTGCGAAGCACACAAAGCAGTATTATTGGGAGACTTGCAGACAGATTATAAATTTACTGGGGACAATCAAGGCATTTAGATACTTTTGGCTGCAGATGCCAGGGACACACACATACATACAAACCTCATTCTTCGCTTCATTTGAGTGACTTCCCCTGATCCCCACCCCCATTCACCTCAGCAGCTCCCTTTCACAAAACAAACTCCCACTGCTCTCCTAGGGAATTCCAGGGAGACGTGGGGATGGAACAGGTGCTGGGGAAGGGAAATTAGGCCTTGAAGCTCTAACAGGACCTCACAGGTTAACTGTGTTCAAGGATGAGACAGCAAACACTGGGCAGTTTAACTGTTAGCAGTTAATTTTCATCTGGAACTCGTGCCAGGAAGTTGCAGTTCTAGGCAACCCAAGCAAAATGTGTGTGTGGTGGGACAGAAGACCACTACCCGAGCTCCTAGAATTTCTGGAAACTTCATCACCCCACACCCGGGCTGGGGATCAGGAGGAGCCACAAAGAAGCATCCCATAGGCCGGGCCAGGGAGGGGGGGTGTCCTCTCTCTAGAGCTCCTTTTCAAGTTCCTTTGGGAAAGGAGCTCGACGCACTGCCCTCCTGTTCTTTGGGCTTTTTCAGTACTTTCAGACTCGCATGGCCATTTCCCGCTGCTGACTTTCATTAGGGCTGGCTTGGGCAAACTGGAGCTGCGCTGCGAGCGGACACAGAACATCAGGGGCCCCACAGACCTCAGAAATGGAGGAAGCCTGCCGGGCTGCGGGGCCGGGCTCCACCTTCTACCCAGAGGCCACTGGCCGGGCAGCTCCAGGGGAAGCCGCGCAGGGCAGGCAGTCACCTGACCTGGACTGGCACGGAGAACCAATGATTCAAGGGATACTCCCTCTGGGATGGGGTGTGTCTGTGCCTCTGAGGAAGAACTCCCAGCCAGAAGCTTCATCAGAACTTTCAGGTTTGATGTCCTGTCAGCAGGAGTGGCTGAAGACAAGGTACTTCCTCGGATGACAGCGCAGAGACAGCCCCTTCGTGCCTGCCCACGGTCATGAACGCTGCCAGCTGGCGCTACCTGACTGTGGGGCCTGGGAAAAGAAGCGAGGTGGGAGGGCGCAGTGGGGGCGTCCGTGGGAAATCAGGGAGCAAGCCTCTCAAAAACATTCCTTCACTGGTCTTGGGGATGTTTCCCCCACAGTTCGCTTTTGACTGAGGGGACACTCATGGAACTTCTCTGTGTTAGAGACCGCCACTTATGGTCTCTTAACCCAAGAAGGGGCCACTTCAAAGGGGGAAGGGGAAAAGGGAAAAGAAGGAAAAGGCTTCGATGAAGGTCAGCGGGACTGACAGATGCCTTCAGGCTGAAGAACGGCTTGTTGGGCCTAATCAGAGGTGGCTAGCCAAAACAGGAGGATCTGTGAGGACAGGGCCTTCCTCAGTGGCTCACTCAGATCTTGCCAGCCTACCCACCTCTTGACGCCAGAGGGCCTCTGGAAAACTCGGGCTTTCTACTGCCTAAGCGACACCCTACGAGTGTAGGAAAGCCCATGAATGAGCACCAGCAGAACTCGATGAGTAAGAGTGTAAAACCGCACCAACTGCCTACCCAGTGGCCTTGGAGGTAGTCAGGTAACACCTTGGCCCTTTTCATTGCTGTCCGCTCCACCTCAGGCCAAGGCAAGCTCTACCCTCACAAGCGGCCACCGGACCACAGCCAGAATCATGAGAAAACCAGGTGCCTTACCGCAATCAGGGCTGAGTTCCTCTGGTCCCCAGGGGTCGAAGCTTGTGACTGCGGCTCCCCGTCGATCCCACCACCGCCACCATTACTGCTACTGTTCAGCAGGTGCTGCTGGTGGTGATGGTGATAGTCTGGTGGGGGCGGTGGGGCGGCTGTCGCTGCGGCTTGAGAGGCTGCAGGAGGGGCAGCAGGGGGCGGTGGAGGGGCAGCAGTGGTGGCCGCAGTGGCGGTGGCCTTGGTGTGCTTGCCAGCCTTCCTCGCCCCCTGGCCATGCTGTACCAGGCTCAGGAGCTGCAAGGTGCTCTCTCGTTCCCGGTCTGAGCTCTCAGCCCTACCACGTTCATAGCGTCCTTCACAGCTCAGGTGGTGCTGGCGGCAGACGGCGATCCGAGCCCGGAGGCGCTCCACGATAGCACTGTGCACTCTCGGGGTGACTGAGCCCCCTCCAAGGAGCCCCGCCCCAGGGGCCCCCCCTAGCCCTCCTGTGGGGGCCTGTGGGGGCGCTGTGTCCCCCATCTTACTGGGTACAATGCTGCCTCTGGGATGGTGAGGTGGAAGGAGGCTACTGCTGGCTATTGCAGCCAAATCTGTTTTTGACAATGTGAGCTCAGTGTTCAGGGCCACATGAATAGAGGTCTTCAGAGGTTGGGGGGAGCAGTGGAGAAGGTGTGGGGGAGGGGAGTTAGTAAAAAGAGGGTGAGGAGACAGAACAGAAACCAATCGCAGAGGATTAGTTGGAAACAAACACTTATCAACTTACTCTAATTGCATTTGACAGCTCTTGAGAAGTTGGACAGAGTTGGTGGGGCTTTTTTTTCCCCCCACCACGCTGACGAGAGCCACTAGGTACTTTGTAAACACACGATCTGGGGGGCAGAGCAAGAATTCAGGGATTTTGTCAAGCCAGAGACAGAAACAGACAGCAAAGGGAATTGAGAGGGGTATTAATAGAGAGCTGGACTCCCCCTCACCTAGTTGTTTCAGAAAAAATTTTATGGGGATGTTTCTGCAGAGAAACACAGCTCTACCACGTCTATGTAACCTGCAGCCTTTACTTTTCCTCGGGTTAGAAAAAAAAGTGCTGTTTCAGAAAATTTTCGAAGTCAATGTTCAGAATGTACAAAAATCAAGAGAGGCTGTCTTTTGGCTTTTAATTTTTCCTCCCTTTCCTTTGGCTCCGGTGTTTTCTCCTCTTTGGGGTACTGTAGGATGTTGTCTTCTCCCAAAAGAGGGAGATGCCTTTTCAATTGTTAACAATGTCAGTAACTGGACTTTTGGACCATGCTCTTTTCTTCAGCTAATCCAATCACCGGTAAAATCCTCATTCCCTCTAAGGTTTCCTAGCCTTAAATGAAAGCAGTCTGATCAAGTCGCTAGCCACTGAGAGAGATCCTTCAACACATTTTTTTCCTTCCCGCTTAGGCTTCCTCACCCCCGGCTCTATTCTAACACAGTATCAAGAGAGACAAACTCTTCTGAGAGTAATTTACAAACGATGGTCAAACTTACAAACTTCCAGCCAATTGCACCGAGTCATGTCCAGCCACTTTTCTGTCCACTTTTGTACATTCCATCCCCGGCCAGTGGATCTGAGGGTCTGGACTCGCAATAAGCAATGTGGTTCTATCTCTTGTATTGCTCCGCTTTATAGATGGGAAAAAAAAAAAAAAGTAGCTTGTATTTTCCTTTCTGTTTCCCGTCTGTTGTTAGCCGCTTTGCTGACACTGGCTCCGCCGCCCGGAGTCACGGCGATACACAGGCTTTCATTGTGCTCCGACAGGAGACGGAGAGAAAGAGAGAGAGTGAGACAGAGAGGGAGAAAGAGAGAGCCAGCGAGCTGCAGATGGGGGCGGGGGGAGGGGGCGGGCGGGAGAGCTGATCCGCGGCTCCCTGGTGGAAGGCTGGTGCCACTGCACGAGTGAGTAATTGCAGCCCGGCCCCGGAGAAAGGGGAACGCAGAGGGCCTCCCAGTGGCCGAAGAGGTAAGTCCCGGAGCCTGCGTGTCTCAGTGGGGCTCACTTAGCCTCCCTGGGCTAAGTGGGGAAGGCTGGGGAAATTCCCCAACCTCTACACAACTACTTCACCAGCTCTGAATGTTTCAGCAGTTCCCGGCCAGGGAATGTATTTTCCCTTTCAGACCTACATTACGCCCCCCTGAGGATACCGTTTTCATTTTTCTGTATGTTGTAAATGACACCACTGAGCACCCTAGCGAGAGCTGGGTGAGCACCGAGGAAATGTTCATTAGTATAATAAGGAAGACGGGTGAGTTTGTGCGTGTTGGGAGGGGGAGGAGGGCGGGGTACAGAGGAAATCACATTGCTAGCGCCGAAAGGGCAGGCGAGTGTCTGTCTACCTGCCTGCCTGTTTTGTGTGTCTTTGGGTAAGTCAACCTGGGTGATTACAAGCAAATCAGTAGGCATAATTACAAGATTTTATGACGATGAAATCACCAATACCAGTTCTAGAAAGGAAAATAAAGGTTTTTCTTTGAAAACACAAGATTACCTGTGACAAACAACTGCAAGATCTGAGGTCTCCGTGGAGCTCTGGTTTACATATTTAAGGAGGAAAATCAGTATGTAGCAGTCGAGTTTCAAGAAGTTTAATAACACAAACCAAATATATCAGTTACACACTCTTGTCCCCTCATCTTCATGTGATCCTGCCTTTAAGATCTCAAACTGTAGATTGGACTCTGCTTGTCATTATCAGTTATGGAGAATACATGCAGATGAGCCCAATATTGGGATAGTCAGGACTCTAAATATGCTGTGTATCCTAACTTGGAAGTCATTTGGATTTGAGGTCTCAAGCAATGGGACTTCATGAAATCAACTCTCTCATCTCAGTAACATGGTCCTTCTCCAAACTGACCTCTGGATAGAAATGAATGGGTAAAGTCAATGCAACCATTTGTAGGACTGGACTTATTTACAGTTTAGTTCCCAGTAGGCTGGCCTCCTTTAGTCCATTTTATTTTCACAAGTTCTGGAGTATTTGTTTGGAACTGGGGACAAGTATGCTCTGATGGAATGTAACTTTTTTACTTTTCATTGGAACTTCTATCTGTCCATTCCAAGGCTAAGTTCCTCACTACTCATGTGGGGAAAGGCAGAAATATATTTTTGTTAGGTATACAAATTTGATGGAGAACTCTCTCATGAGGTATCATTAAAAATCGAAGGAGTTCTGATCATTTTATATTTGATTTTTTTAAAGTTGTATTCATTAGACATTATCTTCCATTACTATGGGTACTTTATATTCAGCAATCGTACTTGATAAAAGAAATTGTAATATTTAAATTTAAAACTGTTCACTCGACAGTTATGTCGTAGCACTGGTTTTCATTAGTAACTCAGAATCCTTAGTCAAATCTGCTATTCCTTTCTGATATAAACTTTGATTTCCATGCTAGACAGGGACATACCTAAAAACTTGTCAAGCAGGAATGTAATAAGTTTTCATACTATATTCAGTGGTGTAAGTCACTTTTTTAGAGTGTCTTTTGTATGCATTTGTCCTTTACAGCCATTTAATTTCAAGCTGAAATCATTATCATCTACATCCTCATTTCCATTCACATCAGCTACTGTTTATTTAATCACTGTTTCAGGCACAGCACTTCACATAGATCTCCCTCAATCCACAGTCTTGAAAGATAAGTATTACTGACCTCATTTAGAAAGGAGGAAACTGAGGCTCACAGAAATTAAGCTCTTTGTTCCAGTTCAAGTAACAGCTCAGGACTCTACCTCAACACTGATGTCAAACCTATGCTCTCTTAACCACTGGGCTTGCTGCCTCAATATAGCAAAGCTGCAATTATACTCTAATCAGCTTGCTAGAGTCTAAGCCAGTCCTGTAATACCTCCAAGAAACGAGTAGTGAATAGAACTACCCGTCTGAAAATGAGAGCAGACAAGTGAGAAAACATGGTCAATCACATCCACCTGCCAATAAAATAAACATTTATTTTTTCCTCGTTCCCCCCCTGCCCTTTTTATGGTATTGTTCTCTAACCCTAAAGTTTCTGGGTAGCCATATGAATTCTTCTAAGCATTACTTTCCTTTTACTTGTCCATTTCTCTCATCATCTCTACTAACCATGGCTACCTAACACTAAAGCACCTAACACCACAGTAATAATGCCCAGATCTAAATAGTTCACAGACATGTGAGATTTTAAGTTTACAAAGTATTTTTTATTGTTATATTGAATCAATGATACTGATGATTATGATGATGACAAAATAAGACAGTATGTCATAATACCTGTAAAGGTTAATTCAGTTTTTTCAACATTGCCATTTTCTTATGGACTACTTGCTTTTGGCCCCCCTAATCTATGCTCATTCTCATTTCCTAACAGCCCGTCTCTCTGCCATTCTTTTGGTGTTACCGTATGCCTAAAAGCCTCTTGTATTCTTCAAACACCCACTGAAGAAGTTTGCGTGGTTGCAGTAACCTCAGACATCAGCAAAACTACTTTTACGTTTCCTGATCAACAGTCAGAATGCTGTTCCAACAGGAAAAATGCTTCACGCCAACAAGGTGCCTGACCTAGGAACTGGGTCAGCTGCCATCATTAAGTCCCTCTAATCATTAGTGCCTTAATTTTTACAAATCAAATGCATGGTATTTCAAACAATACATAAATTAATTTTAAAAACTCCAGGTGGAAGGAACTCTCGCTCTTCAGCATTCTCAAGCTTGTCTGTGGTGTCACGCACGTATGAGAAGTGATGCTTCCAGGGGCATTAGAGATCCTTTACAAATCATTCGCTTTCCTTTTCCATGGTCTTCCTTTTTACAAGTCATTCATGATCCTTCATCCTTCCAACTTGACTATTACTTTCCCTCCAATTCTGCCTTGCTTCTTTTTGGGCACTGTCACTTCATCTTCAACTTTCAACTATGGCTTCATTTCAGTTAAGGATTATTTCCATATGCCAGAGAAATAAGAATAGAGATATGTGACTGAAATTTCTATTTCACACTTTTCAAAAAGGTATGTACTTCTCACGTGAAACATCAGCCTCAGTATTCTCAGCACTTTTGTGAGCTTTTTCCACTCGTTTTGCTTACAATAAGAATAGGGATAATTTCAGAAAACTGATGAAAATACTAAGTAATCTCTATGTAAGGACTTAATAAAGTGTAGCTTTTTATGTGTGCACATACACTGAACTCCATGCATGAACCGCATAATAACTGAAGCCAGGTTCAATCAACACTTGAGGTGAGAAACAATTATCTAAAATTGCACCGTAAAATAGATCCTACTATGACACTACCTTTAAGAATTAAAGATACAGAATAGACAGGGTCCATTTGGTCACTATGAAACCATTTCACTTTATTATATTATGGGAAAATTTAGATGTGCAAAGCAATGCAGATGCCAAAGTATTCTTTTAAACTATTTTTGGCTGAATTTGTCTCTCTGAGGTCTTCAGATCCTAACATAAATATATATATGGGAAAGGTTTTGGATAAAAATAAATAAAATACATCTTAATCATTAACATGTAGACAAATTGAATAAAAGATAGAAAGAACATTGTGAAGCATGAAAATACATATCACAAAATTATTCCTGAATGTGACGGTTGAAAGACTCTGGAGGCCTGAGATCTATTTCTAAAGGGAACTTTCGGAAAGGAGAAAAGCTCTCCTCTTTGGAATGGGTAAACTACAATCTGATTCTGACATGAGGGGATTGAACTGAATGAGACATTCGGTTTCTTCCACGGTCCACTGATCTAAATAAGGAGAGTAGCAAAGAATATATCAGTGCAGATCATTTAATACTGTGAAAAGATAATAAACACATCTGGGCAGGGATTCAATAATAAATACACATAGATGTTAGTCTGAATTCATTTTTAAAATACAGTATTTGTCTATTAAGCTGACAGGACACGAACAGCTCATTTGCTTGATAATCATCTGTTATAAAGGCATTGTTTTATAACTTTAAAATACTCTTACTTAAAAATTATTAGACTTCTGTTTTCTATGTACAGCAGATAAAACTTTTATTTGACTGTAGAGTGCCATTTTATGGAAATTAAGATGAACATATGTTTTAAACAAGATATTTGCCATGAAAATACACACAAAATATCTAAATATGTCACATGATACAGAGAAACAAGATTCATGATCTTCACATTTACAGGAATTTATAAAATCTTCTCTGAAGGAAATGTGTTACAATTCAGTCAAACTTCTCATCTTGAAAGTAATCCGCCCAATTTAGATATTCTTGAAGTTGACCATATTTCTGTGTATACAATAAAAAAGCTAGTTATTTTACTCAAAGCAAAGAAGATAAGGTAGGCCTTTTCAATCTAGAGACACAAACAGGAACATGTTCACTTCTCATTTCAGGATAATCATGAACAAAATTCTTATAAACAGGGATACAATTTCAAATAAGCATTTCTAACCCATGAAGTATTGGAAAGAGATCAAACTGAACATTATTATTAATCTCATAATGTTCTTATAAATTATAATTTTTCTATTATCATATTTGTGGAAGTATAACAGCTTCAATAACTTATTCAACAAAAATTTGTTGAACACATAACATATATTGAATACTTTCTAATGACTGTCTAGGTACAAAAAAAATTGCTTTCCCTGTCCCTAGAAGACCAGAGTTCAGTGGTAATACAGCAATAACAAGTGCCATAAAGAACTATATAGACACTGTATGAAGGTTCAGGAGAGTAGCCATGGTTAGTTGAGGTGATCAGAAAAGAAGAGAAGCACTTAAACTGTCATGGGAGAAAGGATTTGGTTGGCAAAGATTTGGCGGGGGGGGGGCGGGCACAGTCCATACAACAGTGAAAAGGCAAGAAAGTATGAGGTTTGACTACAATTTGAGGTTTGTTTAGGGGAATAGAGAGAAAGGAGACTGAACCAAAGAGGCTGTGGTCAAAGTATGAAATGCTAGATGAAGGAGTTTAGCAATAATGTGACAGGCAATGTGAAATTGTTAAAGTGTTAAGGCAGAGACTGACATGATCTGGGGTGTATTTTAAGAAAAATGGTAAAACATCCATTCTAGAATATTTTGGCATTTAGTTATGAATCTATTGTAATAAGTTAGGTAATGAGATCCCAAATTCGAGTGACAGCCAATGAAGATGAAGAGTCAAGACCAGGGTAGGACAAGATAAGAGAGGACTCAGGATGATTTGGAAATTTCACAGATGATTTGGAAACTGTGATTTGGAAACTCAACTGCTGACTTCAGTTGAGGAGATTAACTGACCTAATGATTTCTTTACTTATGAACTCTGGTTCCACTCCTAGTAAAGGAGGAGAGGATCCTGATGACCCTGACTTTGGTGGTGATAGGAACCTATGGAAAAGCATAGGAGGAATGTGTTTCCCTTCTAGACAGGGCCATGAAACTTTTGTCCCCTCAAAGATCTGTGACTGGATCACCTTCTCTGGAAAGAATGAAGAAAAGAACAGGAAGGGAAATAACCTTTGAACTACCTAGGGATTCTTTTGACCGACTACTTAGGTTCTACCAGACAGAAGTAAAGTACTCTAGAATTAAAAACCTATACCTTAAAAGTTTGATAGTTTTTATGCTTTTTATATTATCTTTCTTTATATTCTTTTTTCTCTTATTAAATTTTTTCTGGAAAATTATAATCTGTCCCAGCTATACTAAGAAAAGTAAGGGAAATCTCTCCTTGCTTTTATTACTAATAATAGTTAACATTAATTGATCACTTACTAATTGCTAGGTCCAATACTAAATGCTTAAAATGTGTTGATCATTTAATTTCCACAATCAAAACTCTATTATTATTGTTTTAATTCCTATTTTACTGAAGAGACAACTTAGAGAAATAAAGTAACTTGCCTCCAGATTCTACTGCTAGAAAATATTTAAATCTGTGCTTTTAACCATCATAGTATGCTATTTCTAAGACTTAAAGTTGGGAGGGACCAGGCAGGGTGCAGCTTTAGTAAGAAGAAAAAAAAAAAAAGCCCTCCAAAGGAAAAGTGAAACTCAGAGAGAAGGCAGTTTGTAATTCCTGGTCATTCAATCCATTTAAAGATTCTGGTTCCATCATTCTTTTTTCCTAAAAATCTGGAGAGTTTGGATCTTATTATGTTAACCCCTTCAAGTGCCAGGATGGATCTACTGATTAAAACAGGTGGAACTGTGGAAAGGGAGTGTGAGAAAGAGGTCAGAACATAAAAGGAGGAGTTTGGAGTCTTCTGCTCAGAAAAAGAGCAGTTAGATGTGAAGAAAGGAATGGGTTTACCGAGGCAGACAGCTATAAGGAGGCTGAGAACGGAACCTAGAGTGACATGCACCTTTAAGCAGGGCCCTCAATGTTTAATTTGCTTAAGAATCACCTGATTTGTTAAATATTGGGTGTTTAACACCCCCAAGGATTCTCATTCAATAGGTCTGCAGTGAGGCCAGGAACTACACATTTTCCACAAACTTCTAGGTGAGTCTGACATAGGTAGTTAGGGCCATGATTTGAGAAACATCAGTTTAAGGAGCGAAAGAAAAATTAAAAGGAAAAAAAAGTTTTAAAGGGGAGAAAGAAAAAGACACCACATAAAAAGTTTCAGGAAGGGGTGGGATATCAAATCATTATTTAAAATTCTTTCTTATGTAACAATCTTTATGTAATACATTTAAAATTTACATACAACTGTAAAACTGAGACTTGATACTTTTGACGTACTTTCTTCACTTCCTGATGTTCATGTATTCACCACCCCATCCCAACAACCCTATCTTCAGCTTCTCTGGAAATCCCATCATCACATTCACTTTCTTCTTAACAAGAAACATTCATTAGAATTTAGCCAGTGGCATATGATAGTATGTTCTTCCAGTCAAATTTAGAATGAGACAATTACTTTTATTATATTTATTATAGGTTTTGGTTTTATTATAATTTTCTTATCATTCATTCCTTTCTTACACTCAAGTAGCTCCTACCCTTTAATGTCATCCTAGGTTAAAAACAGATCATCCTAGCTCAATTGTTAGGAGGAGGAACAAGAAGAATGAAGTCAGTCTAGTTGGCAGGTCTTTGGGAAGATACGCTGAGATATCCTGAGACAAGGGAAGAAAAACGCTTGGAGGAGGAAGGGGCAGGTAAGGGAAAAAGCAAGGTGTGTAATACAAGCTGGGAGGAAAGCCAGGACCAGATAGTTTGTGTGAGGTAAAAGAAGGGGTTGACATAATAATTAGGAAGTAAGAGCAAAAAGGGCCACAGATAGGGCAACTCAAGCAGCATTGAGCCCTGGCATTCAGAAGGGTTAGGGTAGCTATGGCCATGAGCCTGCAACCAAGGAAGAAGGTGTGCGTCACAAGCACATGCAAGGCTGTCACACAAGGACACTCACATTCTCTGAGGGGTAGGTGGAGTGACGCTGAGAAATGTCAGAGCACTTGATAAATTCTGAAGTTTAATCACAGCACAGAAAGCTGCATATGGGTTTACAGTGGCTCTGAACTTTAGTTTCTAGGACATCTTTTGAGAAAATTTATAGATAAATATTTTTAAAACAGGAGGGATCCCAAAAAGAAAATGAAGCTCTTTGGTATTGCAAGTGGAAAAAAAGGTGCATGCTGTCCTAGACTGGCATGATCTTGAACTACTTTAACTGTCCACTACTAAGTGTTGTTCTTGAAGCATAATAGAACACTTGGCTTTTTTCTTCCTAAGAGTATTTTTTCTTATTCCAGGTCCCTTCTTTTAGAAATCCTGTTAAGCTTTTTCTAAGGTTCATGATCTGGAAGTGCTTTTAGTTTTTCTCTGCAAGGAGTTTAACGTTCTTGGGGCGCCTGGGTGGCTTAGTCATTGAGCGTCTGCCTTCGGCTCAGGTCATGATCCCAGGGTCCTGGAATCGAGCCCCACATCAGGCTCTCTGCTCAGTGGGAAGCCTGCTTCTCCCTCTCCCACTCCCCCTGCTTGTGTCCCCTCTCTCGCTCTCTCTCTCTGTGTCAAATAAATAAAATCTTTAAAAAAAAATTTTTTTTAACGTTCTTCCCCATTTATACTATTATTACATAATATGTATAGTACATGCGCAGTGATTTTTCTACACAATTTTTTAAAAAATGGTGTCCCAATAGGCTTTTCAACTCCACTGGAGGGTTGGCAACCCTTAAATGCACCCATAAAAGCAGCTAAGAATTTCATGTCATCATGGAAAATGAAGATGGGACTTACTGGATAAGTCATGGCTCCTCCCTAAGGCTAATAGAAAAGCACAGAGGAGGACAGGGAGGAAAGCACTGGGAGAGAAGTCGAAGCAAAGTAAAAGATAAAAAGCTGAGGAGAGTAAAATGAGAGAAAGACTACGGAAGGTTCCAGATGGGGGGGCGGCGGGGGAAGCAGAGAGATCACCAGGTGGGGGCTTGTGGTGGGAGGAGAACTGTCAGAAGGGAAACCAGTTCTGATGTCACTGTCCAGACTGGGAGACCTCTGCGGGACATGACGTGTCCTGACAAGTTCCTGTTGTTTGTTCTCTTTTTCTTTCCCTCTGCTTGTAAGTTTATTCACTGAGCTCTCTTCTTTTTTATCTTCCTCTTTTACAAATTCCCTTATGGTATAAATAACCTAGGCAACAGATCTCAAGTCAGGCTTTTTTTTTTTTTAAAGATTAAATATACTGTTGATCTGAGTTGCCTGAAAATCTACTATGTTTTCTCTCATACATTCACGTAACTAGACTTGTTTTAGAAGATTGCAATCATATTAGCATTCTTTCCAAGTACCATAAACAATTCTAAAAGCTCTGTGAGCAGACCAGAGCTTATGAGCTGCCAGCAGATCTTCGGGAATCCAGTGCACTCTTCAAAACCCCCACTTTATCCCTGATATCAAACTTAGTGATCAACAGGATTTGGGGGGATCAAAATCAGTGCCGTGGCCTGAAACCTCTGCATTCCCCTTGATCTTCAGTTACAGTGCTCACTGCTCAGCCCATGTCCTCAAGAAGAGGATGTGGGGGGTATTAGAACTGGCAGCCGAGATCCTTTCCTCAGATTGGTACCAGGTGCTTCTTCACTCTCGGGTCACAAGAACTGTTCTAAAGAATAGGAAGCAGACAAGCAGAGGTGAGTCCTATACTTTGTCAAAGAAAATAGGGACTTAATATATATGTAAGGAATACCATATATATAAAAGTGAAAGGACAGAGGTCCTTCATTACAGGACGGTATTATTGAGGATTTCAATTTATCTGATGAGCTGAAGGAATGCTTAGAACATCAGGGCACCTATTCAGGGTGGGACAATGATAAGCATGAAAGGAATGGGTGGAAGAAGAGAAAATACAAAGACAGGGAAAAGGAGAGATTCTCTTTTAAATTTCACTGTCCTCTAGTCATTTGTATCCTTCTGCTGATCATAATTAGGCTCCAGAATCTATGAATGAGATGATTCTTCTATATTCACCTTACCTCCTTAATCCAGCCACTTTCTTTTGACTGACTGAAAATTCTTTCCACTGTTTCTTTAACCTGTTCATCTTCAACTTCTTCTGTCTTTGCAATGGAGCAACATTCCTGGTACAGCTTGAACTTAAAATGTTTTAGTTTATGATAAATTCGGGTACGATCAGCACAAATTCTGCCAACAGTAAACACCTAAATCAAGGAATAAACATTATTATCTGACATATGAAGTAAAAAATATACTAATGATTATATAGCCTTTCTGGCTGTATATTAGCAAAATCTAATAAATGCATTATTAATTTTTAAAATGTTTATACAATGGTTCCTTTACCTTCTCTCATTATATAACTTAGATAAGAAAAACTGAGCATCTGCTATGTTTCAAGTATTGGGCTAAGCACTGGAGATATGTAAGTGAAAGATGTACTACCTGTGTTAGGGGAGCTTACAGTCTTGGGAGAAAAACAAACGATCACAGAACAATGTGTCAAATGCTGGACAAGAGATGCTATCAAGGTAGAGAAGAGGGACAATTAACCCAATTCAGTGATGAGAAGAATCCTTGAGTAGGTGATGCTTGAACTAAGTCGTCAGAAAATAGTTAGCCAAGTTTGAGAAGGAGGAGAAAAATGGCTTTTAACACAGAAGGATGGGAATACCTGAAGCAAGAAAAGCATGCAAGCAATTGTATGTACATAGTTACTGAGTTAAAAATGCCTAGATTAATGATAATTTTCTAAACTTATAAGCCACATGTAAAACTGAAACAAACTCTTACAACCAATATTCAGTATTGGCAGTTTTTCATTAAATTAGTTTTTTCCAAAAAATATTGTCAAGGGCGCCTGGGTGGCTCAGTTGGTTAAGCGACTGCCTTCGGCTCAGGTCATGATCCTGGAGTCCCGGGGATCGAGTCCCACATCAGGCTCCCTGCTCAGCAGGGAGTCTGCTCCTCCCTCTGACCCTCCTCCCTCTCATGCTGTCTCTCATTCTCTCTCTCGAAAATAAATAAAATCTTAAAAAAAAAAAAAGAATTGCTCATTTAAAAAATATATATAAAAAAAAAACTTTGTGTTTCGTCATGTTTGTTTCCTTAGTCACTCTGATATAACACATTAATACTTTATTATTAGCAAGCTATGAGAATTTTAATTTCTATGTTTATGTGGACTTCCAGGATTCTATGATTAAGAATACTCTTCTTGGGGCGCCTGGGTGGCTCAGTCGTTAAGCGTCTGCCTTCGGCTCAGGTCATGCATGATCCCAGGATCCTGGGATCGAGCCCCGCATCGGGCTCCCTGCTCGGCGGGAAGCCTGCTTCTCCCTCTCTCACTCCCCTTGCTTGTGTTCCCTCTCTCACTGTGTCTCTCTCTGTCAAATAAATAAAATCTTAAAAAAAAAAAAAAAAAGAATACTCTTCTTGTGAAATCAACCAACCAGAACATTCCTCTTTCAGAATGTTTTGCATATGTACTGTTACACACACTAATAACGAAAATAGGAAATCTAAAAACTAAACCTTACAGCTAAAAACATTATAACATGATCAATCTTCTTCTCTGGATTAACCTGAGGAAATAGACAAACTCCTTGTTAAATCATATATTTGTCTCTGTGCCTAATTCACTAATGGGTTATGCTTTCATGAGTTCAGTACAAGTGGTCAAGTGGTAGAGTTATAGTATTGATCTATGTAACTTGTATTCTATCTGACAATCTGACAAAGAACTGCATTGTTTTTCTGAAGCCACACTGCAAGGGTTCACAGAGGTGATGAGTTCAATAAATAATCTGAGTATATTGGCAAAAAAATAGTAATAAAATGAAGAGTGTATTGGCAAAACTGCATAAAAGTTACATATGATCAGCAACAGTCAGGTTTGATGCATCATCTTGTGAAGATGGTATTTGGGACATCTTACAGTCTTTCTTAAAATCCTCGAAAGTTGAAGAAAACCAGGTTCAGATTTCTGTTCAAGTTCTATGAAAACCTTTCTGTTTTTCAGATCATTAGAAATAATCAGTATTATTGTACATTGCTTGTTTACTCCCAGGAACCTTCCTGTTTCAACATTATCATCAAACCAGTCATATCAACGCTAACAGTTCCCTTGCTGATGCCTCCTTTTTTACTTTGAGTGAAAAAGGTACCACAATATTGCAGTGGCCACAAGCGGTACCCTCTGTCTCTCCATTTCTGTCATCAAAGTAGACTGTGTGGGAGAAGTCTCCTATGGCTGTTCTGAATAAAGTACAGTAGAAGAATAATATAATTTTTTAAAAATTTCCAGCACACTGTATTTTATATTTCCACAAAACTGAGGAATTTATCTGTATAAAATTTTTAAGTTGGGGCAAGAGGGAAGGAGAGGTATTTAAAAATCCTTATTTAAATTTTTTTTTACCTGTATGAAACAAAAATACCCATTGAAAATATTTAACATTATAGTTTACGTCTTTCCATTTCTAATTCCTATCTTCTTGGCCGCTACTTACACTTATGTAGATCAATAAACCCCAAATTACCTTTAGAATATTCTCACACTATTTTTCCCCAAAATGTGATCACATTTTAAAAGCCTAAACCATTGTTAGTAAGTGTTCACAGAAAAGGGTAAATGCTTCAGTGAACTTCATGATTGTGTCATCTGCTTTAATTGGATTACTTTGCCTAGCATAAACTTATGGGCACTGAATATGTATAGTTTTATGATTCTGGCTATACGTAGTTATCCAGTATTCTAAAAAGATGTATCATAATCTTTCTCTCTCTAGGAATTTTACTGTCCATGAAACTGCTAGTTTCAATGCAACCATGACAAAACTGCATTTTATCATTTGATTTAAAAATACGTTGCTACTTTGAGAGCTATCAACTGGCATTTTAAGGTAGGTTTTAATTGTATACCTTTAGATGGAAAATAATAATTTTCTATTATATTTGTTAACTTTGATGTTTTCCATTGTGTGACTGGTGTATTAATGTTCTTTGCTTTTATTCTGTGAGATCTCTTTTATTTTTTAGATATCTGAGTAACTATTTTATACAGAATCTTTGCTCTTTCACAGGAATATCAGAACTCCAGAAATGGTTTTCTAACTCACTTCCCTTTCCAGGATTAGCTGTAGACCGCAAAGACTGTGAATGTACAGCACTATTTTTGACCTATACAATAGAATATGATCCTTAAAGTATTAAATCACTTTTATTAAGATTCTATGTGTCTTGGGCACCTGGGTGGCTCAGCTGGTTAAGCGACTGCCTTGGGCTCAGGTCATGATCCTGGAGTCCCTGGATCGAGTCCCGCGTAGGGCTCCCTGCTCAGCAGGGAGTCTGCTTCTCCCTCTGACCCTCCCCCTTCTCATGTGCTCTCTCTCTCATTCTCTCTCTCTCTCTCTCAAATAAATAAATAAAACCTAAAAAAAAAAGATTCTATGTGTCTTAACTCATAAAAATTCATAGATCGGTTTTTAAACAATGGGGAGATTTGCATATAGACTATGTTGAGAAAAGAAATGTGTTTTCATAGTAACTTGTCAAATGATACATTAAAGACTAATTCTGAATTCATTATCCCCATGCAAACTTTCTAAGTGAATCTTACAGATTGTTTAGAGAAATCTGGTCAATTACTGCCATTAGTACTGAGGAATCATACTACCCAGTGTAGCAGAAGGATTTAGATTAATAATCTATTTCTAGCTTAATAACTGACTGGCAGTATTTAGAGGCAACTCTGAGAGCCCCCAAACACACACACCCTTCATGGATATACAGACTCACCAGAGGAAGCTCTCAATATTAATATTTTTGCATTTATAAATGTAATACTTTTATAAAGATTAAAAAATAAATAGAAGTAGACTACACCCTGCACTTCTCTCTTCACACTGTACTGCTTTGCTTGTTTACAAATACTTTTCTTCAAATATTTCCAATATTTTCTTCATTTTTGTCTTTTCATTCAAAATTAATGGCACCTTAAGTATGTGTTGATCATCTAGATTTTGATTCTGATACACTCTAGGTTGAAACACCGTTTTCTTTCTATTCTCATATTAAGATGACAGGCATCTGGGAACTGTCAATTTGGTAGATTATCTGCCATAAAATTTTCCACTTGGGTTAAATTCTCCTTTGGACTTAAAGGGGACTTTTGCTTCCCTTGCCCCAGTTATCTGCCTTTTCATCCTCATCCTACACCCTTCTCCCCTCCCCACAGTTTGGGTGATGTATACTTATACAAAGTTTAGTATCTGAATTAGGAGTGAATTTGCCATAGACATAGGCAAGACATATTTTTCACATTCAAAATGTATACCCTCTTTCCTTGTACTCTTTTCCCTTCTCCTAGTGCTTTCTCCATTTATAAAAACAACAGGGTTATTTGTGCAAGCTATGTATTGAAAATTTCTAAATACTGAAAACTAAAATGAGAGGGAAAAATACCTGTTTATCATGTGACATGAAATCATCTGTTTCCATAGTCCTGGTGTTGTACAACTTTCCTGATAAATGCACTGAGTATCTGCAGTGGCGATGCAATCCACAGGCCTGGCAGGAACAGTTTTCAGGATTCTTCAAATGGATACTTACATTAGAATAATTTTCCACCCGCTCCTGAAAACAATTGAAAAATGTAATGAAGCTTTCCAAGATTGGAAAAAAACAACAATAAAATAAAACATAAAAAGAACCTAACCAAATTAAAGCCAATATTTGGAATCACAATAATGGGGTAAGATGTAAGAGCAAAACACACTCTTATTTCTTACTTTAATACAGAGCACACAGTAGATATTTGACAAGATATTTTTAAATTAAAAAAAAGAATTTATAAATTAGGCTTTTATAATTATAATTATAAAAATAATATATAATTATATATATATTTTTATATATTATATATATAAAAATAATATATAATTATAAAAATTAAATTTATAATTTAATAAAAAATTAGTTTCCTACTTTTGAGTTACTGTTAGGTAGTATTCTTCACAGATTTTAATTTACTTTTTTTCCCCCTCCTCTCATCTCTAGTTAGTGTAAATGAGGTTTAATAGTTAGAAAAAAAGAGCAGCAAAAATTCAGGATACTGTAACAAAAAGATGAATTCATTTCGGTTAGTCAAAAACTGAGAAAAACCAGATCACATTCAGTCTCTTTGGTGTAAATTATATCCTATTTCCCACAAAATATTCCAGAAATGATTTGATCATCCTATGGCTACTTACTAAAGGACTATGAAATAAGCAAGTTGGAACTAGGAATGCTAGGGGGCCAACTCTGATATGGACAGTCTAATAGCTGAATTAGCAACGAATAAGTGAACTGAGAAAATATTTGGCATTCATAAATAAGCTTTATTAAGCTGTGCAATTACTTCTGGTTGCATATTTTTGCTCACACTCTAGGCCTGTGCTAGATACTACTGTCATAATTAGTAGTGTAGATTAGGTTTTACCATAATATTTGAACTACAAACAGTGAGCATATTAGCAGGGTTACTGATCCACATTTGTATTCTCTATCAGCCTGATAGTAATTAAATATTCAGTATACCGATAGTTTCCTTTTTAACACTGTATGATTCATAACTACATTGTATTTTGTCTACTTTTAATATTTCTCATATTTCATGGCAGTTTGTGACACATGTCACTTACAGGATGACATTCAGAGTAAATAGGTGACTAAACCACTTTCCCTTCTCGTTTCTGTGGCACATATGGAAGCACATTCAAGATGAAAGCTCTATCAGCTTGGCTCTTGAGAGACTACAATATGCAGAACGCTATTGTAGATTTACACGGGACATATAATATAACTGAAAAATAAGCTTTGTTGGTTTAAGCTGTTAAGATTTTCATTGTTGACCTGTCATATTTATTTTTTGCAGCATAACTTAGCTAATTCTGACCAAGATCATATTGAATTTTCTATGTCTCTAAATTTTTAAGCTAATATTTTCTTGTATCTCTCAGTTATTATTTCAACATCAGATAATCCAAATTCAGCATAACATGCCATGGTATAGTTAAGCATAATATGGCATAGTGGCGTGGGCTTTGGAGTCAGATAAATACTAGGAATTTATGATTTCTAGGTTTAAACATTGGCCTAGTTAATTACTAGCTGTTTAACCTTGTGTTCGGAGTCACAGTTTTCTCAACTCTAAAACAGGAAAGAATAGTGCCTTCCTCATGGGGTTACTCTGAAGATCAAATAAGATACTTTGCATTGCATAATTACTTGGCAAAGTTAAGTGATCAATAAATATATGCTATTTTTCTATTAAAGAAAATAATATTTAAGAACGTGCTATGTATTTTACCTTCCAAGTAAGTAAATATTTCCCTTTAAAGTAGGTAAATATTTTCTGTATCTGAGGAAGAGAGTGGAGTTTAGAGAGGTTAAAAACCTACCCAATGTCAAAAAGATATATATGGTGGCCCTAAACTCAGCCATCCTCCAAACTGAAGTCTTCTATTTCTGTAATCCCATAACTGTCCCTTAAACCTAAATCATCTGTGGCTAATTTATCAGGTAATTCAAGACTGAACAGGCCTTGGATGAAATCAAATCTCCTGACATAAATGAGGTAGAATAGCTAATGATTTAAGTGCCAGAAGGACTGTTAGGAACTTGAACTTCTGTTACCTTGCCATTTTTTTTCCTCTCGCTAATCATTAAAAGATAGAATATTAGAAGTAGGGAGATTAAGAAAAAAACCCTTAAAAAACATATAAGACAGCCTCTACTATTAGAGATTCATAAAACAGAAATCTATGGGGCGCCTGGGTGGCTCAGTCGTTAAGCGTCTGCCTTCGGCTCAGGTCATGGTCCCAGGGTCCTGGGATCGAGTCCCACATTGGGCTCCCTGCTCTGCGGGGAGCCTGCTTCTCCCTCTCCCACTCCCCCTGCTTCTGTTCCTGCTCTCGCTATCTCTCTCTCTGTCAAATAAATAAATAAAATTAAAAAAAAATAGAAATCTATGAGATAACATGGAGTAAGTCTTATAAAGTAAAAAGATGCTTCCCTGATATTGGTAGAATTACAAAATCTTAATTACCAATAATTACAAAACCTTAAGGTCGAGAAGGATGTCAAAGACAACCTAGGCCAGTGTTTCCCAGATTATGTTATGGAAATCAATTATTCTAGGAGGTGATAAAATGTAGCTCATGAAAAGGAGCCTCATAGGAAAACACAAATTTGAAAAGTATTGCACTCTACATCACCCTCTTGAAGATTTATAGTATAAATTCATACATTAATGTTCCTTGAAAGGTCCTCCAATTAAGTTTAAAACCCACCATTTCTCAAACTTCTTTAGCAATGGAACTCCTTTCTGAAACAATGATTAATATTCTGTGAGATAATTTCCTCATTTTAATAGATGGGCTAAGCTCTGGGGATGCTCTAAAGTTATTCATCATTTAGAACTACTTAACTACTGGATACATATAATAAGTGTTACAATAATTAAAACAATAGCAGTCTTTAGAAAAGGTGAGAAACAACAAGCTGATTATTAACAAAGAAAAATGCCAATAATTTAGAAGATTATTCAGTTAGTATTCAGTCAATATTCAGTTTGATAACTGGATACTGAAATCCTGACAGGTCTGCCACTCCCATGCCCCCAACCAGAGACTCAAAACAAATTAAACTGTATACCTTATATTGCTCTTTCCAACGACTTCTAGAAGCTAAACTCTCTAGACGAGGCTGAACAAAGCGGTTATCCAAATAATGGAGAGATGTCAACATATCTTGTGCATATGATTTTTGTCTGGTGCCATCTGTTCAGGGGAACAACAGCAGCAAATAATCACTTAGCCCTTAGGAAATTATCTATCTATCTATCTATCTATCTATCTATCTATCTATCTATCTATCTGTCTAAGCCGCCACACCAATGAATTATCCAGCCTCAAATACCAATAGTGCCAAGGTTGAGAAACATTATTAGGCAATATTTAAATAGTTGAATACTTAAGGATTTCTTCCTTAGTAAGATAAGTAAAGAAAAAAAGATTCTATCATCAGAACATTAGGGAAAGGAACAAACCACAGAGGCCTTCTAATTGTTCCCTGAATACATCAAACTTATTCTTTTCTGTTCTTTTAATCCCAGTAAAATTAAGATATAGTGTTATATTAGTTTCAGGTGTACAATATAGCAATTCAGCAGTTCTATGCATTGCTCAGTGCACATCACAGTAAGTGTACTTTTAATCTCCTTCACCTTTTCACTCATCGCCCCCACCAACTTCCTCTCTGGTAACTGCCCATTTATTCTCTATAGTTAAGAGTCTATTTGTTTTGTTTTTTTTCTTTGTTCATTTGTTTTGTTTCTTAAATTCCACATGTAAGTGAGATCATACAGTATTTGTCTTTCTCTGACTTAGCATTATACCCTCTCGATCCATCCATGTGTTGCAAATGGCAAGATTTCATGCTTTTTTTTATGGCTGGGTAATATTCCATTGGATATATATACCACTTCTTCTTTATCCATTCATCTATCACATCAAACTTACTTTTACCTAAGGGTCTTTTGCACTTACTGTGTTCTCAGATAGATCAATGCATTATTTTCCCCCTGACTTCGTTCATTTAAAAGTCACCTCTTGAGAGACCTTCTTTGACGAATCTAACAGATACTTTCTTTTCCTTTATCACTCTTGGGTCTCTTTAACCTATGTTTTTTTTTTTTTCCAAGAACTAATCACTAGTTGAAATTGTATTATGTTATATATTTGTTTCATGGTCTGTCTCTCCCATTAGACTTTAAGCAACATGAGGGCAGGAATCTTGTATGTCATAGTCATTGCCATATCCCCAGCCCTCAGATAAATGCTGGCCCTTTAGGCACTCAATAAATATTTGCTCAATAAACTGTGAATGAAATCTCACTTAGGCAATTAGGTAGATATTCCATACAACATATTTATAATCTTTATTAACTTCCAGATGTGCTAGATGCAAGGGATAAGTGTATATCTAAAGTATGGTTCTTCTTGTACTCTTAGAAGAGAGGAAGGCAAAAATACATTTTCAATACAGTATGAAAAGTATATACACATCAGTACCACCAGGGAACTGAGAGCACAAATGAGGGAGTAAAAATACTGAGTGGGTCATAGTAGCTTTGACAGTGAAAACAATTTTATACTCACCTGGAAAATCTAGGGTAGAAAGGGATTATATTTTAAGAGGAAACAGTATGAGCAAAGGCACAAAAGCATAAAACAGCACATAAATTTTGGTGAAATTCAATGAGCTCAGAGAGGCTGGGACAACACATGGGTATTGAACTACTCTGCTGTTTTGAGTCTGTCCTACATCCTCACATTCACTGTCAACTCTCTAAGGTCAGGGGAACATGACATATTTCTTTTGCACTTTCCACATATCACAAATAATAAACAGTAACAAGTTCTTGATGTGAATGGGCTTCTGGTGTAGTTGATCCTAGAGGGAACAATTGGAGGGCCTTAAGAATGGGTCTCTTGGTTTTGCTTAAGTATATATTGTATTACATAGTATTACATTATTATATTAGTAGGGTGTTTAAAAATTGGAAAAAGAAAAAAAACTCTAATTGTTCCATTTGTATTAACTTACCATACAATGTTCCCAGAAAAGATCCATCTAAAGCATTGATCAGAAGAGCCTTCACAACTCTTTCAAAGTGAGTATAGTGGTCATTAAAAGAATCTGAAATTAATTTTAAATACATATTAGAATATACTAGATAAATAAAAATTCCCTGAATAAAATAGGTTCCTTTCTCTAAGAAATTAATACTATAAGTAGGAGAATTCGCTTAATTATCCTAATTTTATAGCTGCCTCAGTGACTTGTCACTGAGCAAATCTCCATTTTCCAGATTTACTGGCTTCTAATCCAAATTTCAAGTTGTTATTTCAAATAATCTTCAATTTCCAAACTTATTAAGGGAAAACTATTCAGAAACTATTAAGAGATACATTGTGGAAAAAAAAAAAAAAAAACCCAGATCATCCCCTGTGGACCCAAGTTTAATTATCAACTTAACAATTAGAGCAAGAGAGAAAACTTTTATAGGTACATTATTCAACATGTACCTGAAATTCCTGTCTTTCCTTCTCTTCGAAACATGGTACATATGAAATTGCCCAAGAAATTACTACCCTAGCCAAAACCCCAATGGCTATAAAAACTCCATTTCCCTTTCTGCTGCTCCAGATTTAGGATTTCCCATATCAGTTTAGAAAAGTTCTGTCTTCTCTTTCTCATACTGAATATATAAGCCTACCTTCCCACTAACCCAATGTAGTCCATGGAATCATCTGTTGTGATGGGCCATGCAATGGTAAGAGAGAAGGTCCCTACTATTTCCCATTGCTCTTGGGTCAAGGTTTACTATGGCTGTAGAAATATTCTCTATTAAACACAACCTCTTCCTTGATCCAAATGGTCATCACAGAACATTTGCCCTGGCCTGGGAACCTATATTAGGGGCAGCCTGAGCATTTCAGGAAAAGTGGATGATGCTTGGTGAGAAATTTAAGCAAAATAAGACCTATGTTAGCATTTATGAGTGAATTTTGACCTTGCTTTCATTGAAATAAAACAAAGATGAGATTTAACATGGGGAAATGTTTTTACTTATATTTTAGCTACTAAAAGGGCTGTATAACTCTTTAGATTTCAGGAAAAATATTTAGTACACAATCTTTTTTAAGCAAACATTTATTATAGTACTAAAGTGGCCAAAATAAAGCAGTAATAAAATTAAATGACAATAGCAGATAATTTGCACCGGGGCCCTTATACTTTAAATTACAAAAGAACTGATCACAGCCATTTATGAGTATTTTTTAAAAAATCAGTAGAATGTAATTGGAAAATGAAATAATACTTCAATAGCATTCAATTTTGATTAGATTTAATCAACCTCTGGATATAATATAGTATTGGACCATCATTTAATTTGTGAGTGTTAAACTGCATTTAAACTCTTATCTAGCACTTTCCAAGCTATATTAAGGGAAAAATGTTCTGTGAATATTAACAGGCATGTTGAGGGGGAAAAAACCATGAAATTCATTCCCTGTGCTCCTAAGTTTAACTACCAAATAAATTGAAATAGAATTTTTTATCCCTCTGATTTTATCAGTCTTTGAATGTGCTGATGCTCAACCTTACTCACCTGCTGTAGAGTTTGGGAACTGTTGTTCTACTTTAAAGACTTTGACGGTGTTTCTTTAGAATTGGGAGTAAAAGGAAAGGGCAGAGGATCAGAATCATCTGGAGAATTTTTGCCTAACCACAGAATCTCTCTCCTACCAATATCAGAATCTCCTTCAAAAGAGTCAGGAAGGCCTCAGTTTCGCTGTGCTTGAGTGGATAGATGGGTGGTGGAGGAATTAAGCTCCTGGCATCTCAGATTGAAAAAAATATTGTAGGGGCGCCTGGGTGGCTCAGTTGGTTAAGCGACTGCCTTCGGCTCAGGTCATGATCCTGGAGTCCCGGGATGGAGTCCCACATCAGGCTCCCTGCTCAGCAGGGAGTTTGCTTCTCCCTCTGACCCTCCTCCCTCTCATGCTCTCTGTCTCTCATTCTCTCCCTCTCGCAAATAAATAAAATCTTAAAAAAAAAAAAAAATTGAAAAAATATTGTATTGAGCAAGTATATGCCAGGCATTGTTTTATGTACCTACATGCATTGCTTTATTTCTCAATACAAGCTTGTGAGGTACTATCAATACCCTCAGTTTATTTTTAGTTAAGGAAATAAATACAAAGAGGATGAAAAATCTCCCCAAGATCACACAGCTAGTAAGTGTTGAAACCGGTGCTGGAACCCAAACAGTGTGACTCTAGATTTCATGCTACTATCCCCTATGTAGATGTTGTTCTGCATGCTAGTTAGGTTTGATAATATAGTTCAGAGCATGGAATTTTAGACTTGGATGGGAAATTGGAGAAAATAATACAAATCTCTCATTTCATTTTATTTTGTATTTTGTATTTTATTTTTTTAGAGAGCGGTGGTGGGAGGGAAAGCGAGAATCTTAAGTAGGCTCCACACCCAGCAGGGAGCCTGATGTGGGGCTTGATCTCACACCCCTGAGATCATGACCTGAAACAAAATCAAGAGTCAGATGCTTAACCAACCAAGCCACTCAGGCGCCCCTCAAATCTTTCATTTTAAAATTTTTAAAAATGACCCAATGATGAAAGAACTTACCCAAGGTCACACAACTAGATAGAGGAAGAATCAGGATTAGAGCTCAGACCTCCTCCACAGCTTTTTTTCCAGTGCTCGAATCCCTATAGTGGATAAGCTTCTGTGGAACATCCTAGGAATATCATTTAAAATTTTCTTCTATGATTATAAAAAAAAAATTGCAAAAGAATACAGGAGAAAATCAACAGTTTTTGTGTTTATGCATAACTTGATTTTTTCAAGGTAGTCAATTTCCCCATACCCTATCATAGGGTAGTTTAGTCATTCTGTTGATTTTCCATGCATCTTTTATCATATATTAATTTCACATATATGCTAAGATTTTGTTTCAGCACCCTGTACCTTTCTTAATGATCTGGCCATCATCTTCATGCCAGTACCACACTGCTTTACTTACTGAAATGTTATATAACTTTTTATATCTGGTGGGGCAATCCTTCTGATTTACTGTTTGTTGTCTAATTTTATTTATTCTCATATATTTTTCCCAAGTGAACTTTAGCATTGTTTTTGCAAAGTTGAATCAAAAAGTTAATTTCACGGGCTCCGGGGTGACTCAGTTGGTTAAGTGTTAGATTCTTGATTTCGCCTCAGGTCATGATCTCAAGGCTGTGAGATTGAGCCAAGCATCAGGCTCTGAGCTGCGCATGGAGCCTGCTTAAGATTCTCTCTCTCTCTCTCCCTTTGCCCCTCCATCCCAAAAAAGTTAATTTCAGAAGAAATAATTTCTTGTACTATTTACTGCTTTCCAGAAACATGCTGTGTCTCTTTTATTCATGTTTTCTTTGCTATTTCACAGTAAAGTTTATTCTTGTACCTATAAAGTCATGCTTTTCTTCCTAAGATTAGACCTAGGAACTTTATTTTGTTTGCTACTATAAATGGAATTGTCTTTCATTATATCTTCTAAATAATTATTGATAGCATACAAGAAAACTATTGAATTTTACATATTCATTGTGAATCTGGTCATCTTTCTGAGATCTTTTGCAAATCCCCAATAGTCAGATCTCTTATATATTTGCAGAAAATGAACTTCCTAGCACATTGCAGAGCTGGATAGAGGGAGATACTGTTCAGGAATTCCTGTGCAGTGACTCTGCTTTCTCCCCCAACCCTGAGAAGGATGTGGTCTTGCTAGTGCTAAGTTTATTTCAAGAACCGAGTGAATGTTTATACATATTCTCTTAGATAGAAGCACAGAGTGTTGGTGTACTTTCTTTTGAAATGGAAGTATGAGCCTAGTGTAAGAAAGCAGAGACAGAGCAAGAAATTGGGTTCTTTTTCTACTCTTAACAGGTACCCCCCGCAATAGGAAAAAAAGGAACATAAGAAAACTATGGAAATATATGCAGCATTTACTCCTGCTCTCAAGCTATTCATATGCTTTCTCTTTGTATCCCTGGTTAAATGAGTCAGAAACTTATAGCTTGTGTGTGTGTGTGTGTGTGTGTGTGTATATATATATATGTTCAAATAATGTCTTTTCCTTTTCAATAGTTATATTTCTTGTTTTACTTTTTTATTATATTGTTCAAAACATCTAGAACAAAGTAGAAAATTTTGTCTTGTTCTTTTTTAAAAAGATTTTATTTTATTTATTTTATAGAGAGAAAAAAAGTGAGGAAGAGTGTGTCCATGAGTCGGGGAAGGGGCAGGAGGAGAGCATCTTCAAGCCGACTCCTTGTTGAGCATGGAGCCCAACACAGGGCTCCACACGGGGCTTGATCCCACGACCCATGATAACATGACCTGAGCCGAAATCAAGAGTCAGCTGCCTAACTGACTGAGCCAGCCAGCCAGGCACCCCTGTATTAAACCATTTTATAATTCTTTTTTTTTTTTAAAGATTTTATTTATTTATTCGACAGAGAGAGTGAGAGAGTACAAGCAGGGAGGAGTAGTAGAGGGAGAGAAGCAGGCCTCCCGCTGAGCAGGGAGCCCAATGCGGGGCTCGATCCCAGGACCCTGAGATCATGACCTGAGGCGAAGGCAGACGCATAACCATTTTATAATTCTAAAAAGGATGGCTAGATAACTTTTTCTTCATTCTTGTAATTAGAAAAATATTTCCTTCATATGTCTATTTGCAAATCTATTTTCATCAACTTATTAGGATGTGAGCCTCCTTAATTTGCATAAATGCATGTGTTCAGCAACTCAACAGTATTTTCTTCTATCACACCTCTGAATTCACATCTCCATGTTTTTCCATCCAAAAACATGCTGTCTCTTAGCACATTCAAATCTTCTTTTACATTTCCCACTAAAGCTATAGAATTTTCTTCCTTTAGATTTCCATTTGTTCTGTATTTCCCTGCAGAAATTTGTGAAGTAGGATCATTTCTACTCCTTTATGTGTTATCTTCTCCTTTAGAACTGTTTTCATTTTCTCTATGCAAAAGAACTTAAGTTTAACCTATATATCACTGATGATTTTCTGTACTGTTAATTCTGTTGTTTACATCTTTCAGTATAGATTTTATTTCTGACTTTATATTTTTAATTTTCTAGCAACTAATCCTTATCTCAGGTAGCTCTATTTCCCCTCAAGTTGTTCTTTCCTTACAACTTCCTATTTCCTTTTCACAGATTGTAAAGCAAATGCTTTGTACAATTTTCTTCTGTTTCCTTTAATGAAACACTTTTCACAGGCATTTTCTTCCTCTGAGTCTTCAGGGCAATGTTACCTTTCCCTTGTGCTACAATATGATTTCACTGGCACTTTTTACTTATCCTACAAAAAAGGGAAAATTCTAGAATTTAATATTTAATGTAAATGGTTGCAAGACTGTTCTTAGGCACACTCTGTGTTATGTTGATAGAATTATTCTCTTTAATTGCTAGGTGGAGACTAAGTTAATATTTGCGTTTAGTCTAATTTCCAGTATTCTAGCAAGTATTTATCTAGTGAGGCACTAGTAGACTGAGATGTACTCTTCTGTCTATACTTCCTTCTCTGTCACTTTGAACATATCATAGAGTACTGGAAAAACAATTTTCAGTATCCACAAATCTGAAGGTTATTCCTATCTATCTGTGTATATTATTATTAGCATGTGAACATTATAGGTCTGGAATACAGTGGACCACAGCTAGTCTATCCCTCTACTTTTTATCATATCTTTTCTGGGAGCTGCAGTCTCAAAATAAATTTAGAGAAATACAGGGGGATTTATGAGAAGGAAAAAAGACCATGATTGTCTTCAACTGCATCAAAGGTGTAGTAGAAAAGGAAACTATTCTGAGGTGTTACAGACACATCTCTCAGAGCCAAGTGGCAGATAATGAGGAAGTGACAAAATGTCTTCATATAGGTAGAACTGTTCTCATCCAAAAGGTAAAATTGCATTGGCCACTCATTGTGATTCTCACCTGAGTAGTGAATTTGGAATTAGGAAATGTTTCTCACAAATTGTGATCATATGTTGGCTATGAGTAGTTGTCAGTGTTCTTAGAGAGGTTGGGAAGAGGATGAATCTGCAAATATTACCCTAATTATAGCCTAACCAAGGCCACAACATGTTTATTATTATAATCACATAGGTTATTACTTTAATGAGAAAATATATTTTTAAAGTGTAAGAATTAACCTATAGCGACTTTTAGATCATAATCCCTTGACAAATTGGAAACTGCCTACATTTAATTTTTATTATATTCATAAATGGCATAAGCATTTATAAGTATTAAAAACAAGTCATACATTATCACTCTAAAATGTGTGGGGTTGTTTTCCTCTGATGTTTTTAAGAAATCTTATCACATCTAACATTTCTCTGTCTTGAAGTATAGACCCAAGAGCCTTTAATCAATACACTTATTTTAATCATCCATCCATCCAACTAACAATGAGTTCCTATAATGTATCATCAACTTTAAATGGTGTGAGAAATGCAAAGAGAAGTGAAGTGGATTAACCATTGAGGTTATTTTTTGGAAGTGGGGATGCCCATTTATTTGGCTCTCTTTATTGAGTTTTGCTTTTTTTACATACCATAAATTTCACTCTTTTTGGTGTACAGTTCTATGACAAATGCATAAAGTTGTGTAACCACCATGACAACCAAGAAAACAGTATTTCTACACCACCCCAAAACTCCTTTATGTTACTGCTCAATTATTTAGTTTTACACATATTGAGTCTGAGGTGTCTGAAAGATACCCTGATGAAAATGTTCAGTAAGATGAAAAACTGTGATTTAGGCTTTGGAGAAATCTGTGCTGGAAATAAAAGTTTGGCAATTTTTGCCCATAGACTGGGCTAAAGTTATGGGAAGAGAATGCCTGAAGCACAAGCCAGGGAGTTTGAGGATGACCTTTAGAAACATCAATATTTACACGGCAAATGGAAAAAGAGGAAAGCAGTATTATAAAGGGGAAGACAAGATAGAATGGTACCACAGAAGCTAAAAAGAGAACTTTCTAAAAGGGAGAATGATCAATTGTTAGTGGAAAACACATTAACAATATCACGTTAACATAAGAACTGACAAGCATTTTGGCAACTAGGAAGTAATCACTAACTTTAATGAGAGCAAGTTCACTGGATTGATGGGTGCAAGAGCTCAACAATGCTTGGTAGAGTTAATGGGAAGCTGGAACAAAGGATACAATTTTGAATAGTGGTTAATGAAACATACCAACTCAAGGGAGGAAAGGCATGAATATGGTTACAAGTTGAGAAAAGACAACTTGTAAGGATAAAGCGGAAAGAAGTTGCAATTAGGAACAGACAAGGTAAAATGTATTGCATAAAAAGAGATTCATCTCTCTCTGAGGTGGAGATGCTCAATAGTTGAAGCAAGCACAGAGCTCCTTGGTATCTATCCAAATGAGTTGAAACATTGTATCCATAGAAGATCTGCACACAAACATTTATAGAAGCTTTATTCATAATTGCCAAAACTTGGAAGCAACCAACATGTCCTTCAGCAGGTGAATGAATAAACAAATTGTGGCACATCCATACAATGAAATATTATTCAGTGATAAAAAGAAATAATCTATCACGCCACATTAGACATAGAGGAAACGTAAATGCATATTATTAAGTGAAAAAATTCAGTCTGAAAGGGATACATGCTGTGTAACTCCAACTATAAAACATTCCAGCAAAGGCAAACTGTGGAGATGTTAAAAAGATCAGCGGTTGCCAGGAGTTCAGTGGAGGGTGGAAGAAATGAATAGGTAGAACACAGGAGATTTTGAGGACAGTGAAACTATTCTGTATGATATTGTAATGATGGATACCTGTTGTATCATTATATATTTGTCAAAACCCACAGAATGTACAACACAAAGAGTGAGCCCTGAGATAAGATATGAACTATAGTTAATAATACTGTATCAATATTGGCTCATAATTTTACCATATGTACCAAATTATTGCAAAATGTTAATTACAGGGAAACTGTGTGTGAGAGGGGTTATGTAGGAACTCTCTGTAGTTTCTACTCTTCAATAAATCTAAAATTATCCCTTAAAAAACAAGAGTAAGCATAGAGATGTAGAATAGAGAAGGAATGATGAACTTTAATTTTCATTAATTAGCAGGAGTAGGCATGAGTAGGTATCACTGAGAAAATGTTCTATCACATTCTAGATATTATATCCAGAATGATGGGATATGTCCTAATTGAGTTTCGGTAAAACTTCCGTGTCCAGGTGGCAGGCGAACAAGTGACTACTGATGTAAGGAAAGTAGTCACTGACTTTTGAAATATAGATGCTTATCACTGGCATCTCTATAACTGATAAATTTCTTGAAATTTAATCCATACCTCAATCTACTATTTTATTATAAATCACGAGATTCATATTGAACCATGTTACACATAATTTTAGTAAATATGACCATTTAAAAAAATTGGAAAAAATCCATTCTTGAAGAAAAAAATAAAAAATGTATTCACTCAACAGCCTGTTTCTGCCAGAGTTGTAAAACATCATAAAAACAGTCTTTGGATTTAGGCACAATTATAGGGATTAGAAAAATAATACATATTTTAAGATACCCTAAATTGTCAGGGTCTCAAAGTGTGGTCTGTAGACACCTATAAGTCTACAGACTTATAGGGGATCGATGAAATCAAAATAATAACACTAAGATAATCATGCTGTTTTTACCATGTTGACATTTTCAATGATGGCACAAAAAGTCACTATGGGTAAGGCAGCTGGCTCCCTAACATGAATTACGGCAGTAGCACCAAACCACTAGTAATCACTGTAGTCATCATTGCTATACATTCAGTAAAAAGCTACTTTCACTAAAGAATGTCTTTGATGAAGTAGTAAAAACTATCGATTTTATTAAATCTTGAACATACATCTTTTTAGTATTCAATGGGATGAAATGGGAAGTATGCATAAAGGACCTATGCTGTATCATAGTATGATCAATCATACTCTGAGGAAAAACTGAGTTGGGAGCTGAAAAAGATTCATTTATCATGAAACACTATGTTTACTTGAAAGAACAACTGACAGGGCACCAGCCTGGTTCAGTCAGTAGAGCATGCAACTTTTTAAAAAATTTATTTATTTTAGAGAGAGAGAAAGAGAGAGCAGGAGCAGGAGGGAGAGAGAATCTGAAGCAGACTCTGTGCTGAGGGCGGAGCCCAATGTAGGGCTCGATCTCAGGACCCTGAGATCACTACCTGAACAGAGATACCAAGACTCGGATGCTTAATGGAATGTGCAACCCAGGTACCACAAGCATGTGACTCATGATCTCAGGGTTGTGAGTTCAAACCCCATGCTGGGTGCAAAGTTTACTTACTTACTTACTTACTTACTTACAAGAAAGGAAGGAAGGAAGAAAAAGAAAACGAAAGAAAGAAAAAGAACGAACAACTGACAAACAATGGATATTCAGGCATTTGTCAATTTTCTCAAAAAAGAACAAAAGGAACCTGTGATTTCAAGAATTCACAGTATTTGTTGCCAGAGATTAAAAAAAACCAGATTTTTAAGTAGAAATTAGAATTTTAGAAAACTTGTATCTGCTACTACTGTGAGCTTGGACAGCTTCCCCATACCTAAAAAAATTTTTGATGAGATTGGTGGTTGATATTAACAGATGTAATTTTGAAAATATTATATAAAGAAATGTGTCAACATTTGGAAGATCTACATAACCCAGTGAACCAATGTTTTCCAAATGACTAATGCATGATGTTACAAAGTCATGTATGGGTAAAAGATCCATTCAAACTGCAAGACAGATTAATGGAATGCAATGTAAGTAGGGATTAAAATTAGTTGCATATATAAACCATACAAATGAGTTTATATGGTTTCTGATTCCATATTGCAACTAACTTTAAGAAACAATCACTTGTTGAATTGTGGTATAGTGACAAATAAGAATATCCACATTATTTTGAAGATACTTTTAAAATCTTTCTCCCTTTTCCAGCTACCTATCTGTGTGAAGCAAAATTGTTCTCATCTACTTCAACCAAAACATCAAAATACTGAATGCAAAAGCAGGTATCAGAACCTAGCTGCCTTCTATCAAGCTATATATTAAATACAATTATTAAAATGTAAAACAATGCCATTTTTATTTTTTAAAGTTATTTTTAATAAAAATGGTATTTATGTTAACATGTAACAAGCTTATTAATGTTAGTTTAAGTCTTAATTAATAAATATATTTTAAATTTCTCTGTTTTGTATTTCTACAGTGGTAAATGTTGATAGGTAAACCCCACAAAAACAAAAGCTCTTTGGGGTCCTCAATAACTTTTGAGTATAAAGGGTTCCTGAAACTACTAGAAAAGACTATTATCAGAGTGACAAAATTACCTAAAAATAAAACCATAGTTCCTCATCAATGACTTAGAACATATAGTAAAAGGCTGATTTGATACTTGATATAATACCATGATTAGAGCAAGTCATAAAACATTTTCTTGATATTAACTTACAAAGAGAATTCTGTTTTACTAATTTCAGTTGTGATGTAGTCAATTTTTCTCCTCGCTGGCTTTTATTCTCTTCATCACCTTCCTCATCTTGAACTACAAAGTCATCAATAATATAATCATCTCCATCTTCATCATATTCATAATCCTCCTCCTCCTCCTCCTCCTCCTCCTCCTCATCATCATCATCATTTTCATCACTGCTTGGGCAGGATTCCTTTTCAGAGTCCTAATTAAATTAAAACACATCCTTCAGTAAATTTGTACCCTTAAATTGTCAGTATGGATATGAAATTAAAAGATTAAATCTGAAACCAAAACAATGATCCATGGAAATTAACATCATATTGTAAGGTTAAAAAAAAGTCTTATCATGTTAAATGCTGAACTTTTGGAATTAGGAAGAAGATAATATACCTTGGTAAATGATATAAAATGTTTAAAGTGGACATTAAGATTATAATTAGAAGTTAAAAAGAGGAAAGACCATATGAAACAGTCTTTCAATTTTAAAAGAATGATAAACTGAGGCTCATGATAAAACTATATATTAGACACAACAGTGCAATCAAACATGTTCAAGGATACTTGATTGAAAAATAAATTCAAGAATTGAGAAATAGAACAGACTCAACACTTTGATTTTTATAAAAAATAAATACTTTTAAGAAAAATTTAAAAACAGTAACAAAACCAATAAAATATAACACACCTCAAAATCTCTACTACTATTTCGTCTCTGACGAGATCTTTGTTTTGAGAGTTCTTTCAGTTTCTGGAGTTGTTCTCGCTTTCTTGCAGCTAGAGTTTTTTCAGGTTCTTTTTGCTCCATCTCAACTGAAGAACATTCATCTTCAACCACTCTACGTGGACGTTTAACACCTACTTTTCTAACTAGGATATCACTATCATCACTCTCATCACTGTCATACATAACAGAGGAGATCCTTTTTCTCTTCCCTCGCTTGATGTGTTCTTCTTCTAAGTCCTCTTCTATTATTTGTCCAGTGTGTTTGTTGAGATCATCCTCCTCTTGACTTGAATGTTTTCCATGATCTGGTAAGTCAACACTTCTATATTTGTTTTTGTTCTTTTCTTCTTCATATGCTGAACTGTTGCCAGTGTTCATGAGATGCTCACAGTTACTACTTTCACTTTCAACTTTAATTAATCTAAGTTCTCTTTCATTTTCCGGCTTTTTATTACTATCAAACCCCTTGTTATCATCAAGCTCTTCATCACTGTCAAGCTCTTCATCACTGTCAAGCTCTTCGTCGCTATCAAACTCTTCGTCACTGTCAAGCTCTTCGTCACTATCAAATAACTGTGAGATACTACTTCTTTTAGTCCGCCTCCAATCAACTCGAGATTTCTGCTCATGCTCTTGAGTTGTAGAATTTTTCCTTGTTTCGTGTCTTCTAACATGTACCATTTTCACTTAAGCTTCTACAAAATAAAGTTATTAGGAATATAATAATGATAACCAGATTACAACAATGAATGCATTTATGGTACAAACTATATTTATTTGGTGTTATAAAATGGTTCACAAAGGTAAAAATCACATAAAATATCTGAGTTAAGATAGTTTATTCAACATATAATTTATTGAACATCTATGAAATAATTGTATGAACATTTATTCTGAATTATGCTATATTTTGTGCTGAAAGGGATTCACAGAAAAATAATGGTCCTGTTCTCCAGAAGATTATTATCCATGGGTAGAACATACAAACATATATTAAGAAAAATGCAAGGTATTCCTTTAGTACAAAATGAGAGATAAAAATAACTGCAATAAAATTATAAAGATGCAGGAAGTACAGTATAGCAAGTGCTTCACTGAAGATTTTATTGAACAGATATGATCTGATAGACTTCTAAAGGACTGGCTATATTTCAACAAAAAGAATGACAGAAAAAAGGATTTCAGGCAGGTAAAAATGGTAAGGTCAAAACTTCGGCACTGAGAGAGAATGGTATGTTAAGTAAGTAAGTGTGACCAAAAAAGGTGTGAAGAAAGGCTTTATGCTGGAAAAAAAGAGACAAGTATAGAAACATAGGGTGGGATTACTAGGATCATTCATCCTTAGGCCAAGGATTCTGAACAGAGAAATGATATGAATTATAACATAAAGGATCAATCAATTTATATGAAGAAAGTTATAAAGTAGTAGCTGACAAAAGATAGCATTGTGAAATTAAGAGATCACCTATCCACTAAGATTGTAGCTTCTGTATACTTTAGTAAAATGGCAGTGGCTTTAAACCACTCAATGTTAAAGATATAATCCAACAGAAAACTTACTAATAATCCAAAATTGGGTGAAAAAATAGTTTCATGGTGAAGCAGAACATGATATTGGGAAGGAAAACAAATACTGTAAGTTTCTGATTCAGAGAAGGCTGACCACCATTAAAATTATCACAAGTACATAATAAAGGAACAATTAGAGACAAGTAAGATAACTAGAACAGTAACACGTATATACTTCTGTAGTTGCTAAGGAATTAGACATATGATCACAATGTAATGAGACTGACCTCATAATATATGTATAAGAACTTATATATTCTATTGAGTGCTATCTCCTTCAAAAGAAATCACCTTATGAGACTAATTATTCCAATATTTGCACTATGGCACAGAATATTCTTGGAGATTTTCTATAAAACATAGTATCAAACAATACATAAAAATATGAAAATAACCCCACTCCAATTTTTTTAATCCCCAAAAGTGGCTTAAATACCTATTTTATTGACTTGTCTTAGTTTAGGGACTGTTAGCAGCTTCCAGAAATTAAATCCAATTTCAAAATATGAATATTAATTACCATTACAGATATTTTTTAAATGTGCTGTAACTTTGAAGGTAATCGAAAAATAGAATGCCAAAATTTTTTGAGCAATGGTAGTATCACTGAATCAAGTTTATGGCTTTCCAAGATGATTCCTTTTTTGGGTGGGTGGGAGTGGGGGAAATACCACTCATTTGATTGTACAAATTCTGTTATGTTTAAAAGCAATGTGACAGTTTCTACAATGGTAACACCTCATATAAAATCAGGATAACGGTTGCTAAGATTATATACCAGAAATTTTCTTTATAGTGTAGGCTGAAGAGTGACCTTATGACAGTAACTGCTAGGAGATACACTAAGCATTATAACAGCAATCTAACAAATCCTAGTCAACAGACAAAATATTCTGTTACTTGAAGTTACACTTTGGTTGCATATTACAGAAGGCTTATAATAAAATCAGCAAAGATGAGAATTGTGGTCAAAATCACCTTTAAAAAAATCTCTATATTACTCTTTAAAGGATGTTTTTTTATATACCATACTGCTTCACAGTAGATCCACCCAGTTTCTTCTCCAGATTTTGAACAGATCACTGTTGGTTTTTTTTTTTTTTAATTAAGCACCAGATAAATCAGGCAGCTTATATTGTGAAGCCATATGTTACAAATAAGTATTTTTTGGGCACATACAGTTAAATTTGCACAAACTGTGCAAGTGCATTACACTACTAATGTCTTTCTAATAAGTCTGTCTGAATTAGGAGAAATAATGAAAAAACATTCATGAAAACAAATGACAAATATGGCTTCAGTAGATACACTAAAGCAGGTGTGAACATTAGGAACATTAAATGAAAGATGATTTTATTAGTCCTCAAAAGCAGTTTCATGTACACTAGATGGCTATCTCACAAAAGACAGTTATTTATCATATCAATAGGTGACTCCTATGACAATGGTAGAACAGGTAAGCACATGACACTATAAAAATACCTATCACTACACATGGTTAAGCTATGAAAAAATCCTATATGTTTAGGAATTTTTTAGTGTATTTTCATATCTGTTTTTAAATCCTGACAATTATCCTAGAAGGAAGATACTGTCTCCCTTCATTTGTAAATATCAAAGCCAAGGACATAGAGTTTAAGTGACTTACCGAAGATCACACAGCTTGTTAGTGACAGAGCAGGGATTAGAAACCAGGTCTCCTGATTCCCCATCCAGTCCTACACAGTGACTGCTGCCAATATTATATTTATACAAGGTAGTAAAAATCATGCCTTTAAAAAGTCATTATTTTATCTCTCATTCATGCTAAATTTTAGTTTCATAAAATAATCAAAATAGTTTAGAGTTTACAAACATGCTTTTTAAAAAATTATGTAACAGAATTTTAGTGCACATGAGTTAGGCCAGACACTTCTGGAAATCGTCCAATAGGCAAGAAAAGAATGTGCAAAAGTGATGAAAATTTGAAACTTCCCTCTACCATCTTATTGATGACACTGATTACAAAATTTAAGGATTCCCCATTGAGTCCAAAAGTAAAAATTTCAAAAAAGACAGTCTCTGATGAGAGATAAAAAATTTATTTGGGAAAACTGCAGTACTGGATATCTGAAGAAGCAAATTTTATTTAAGTAAAATAAATCAAGTTTCATTTGTCCAACTGCCAAATTTCCAGTTCTCTCTTCATATTTCAAAACTGCTATTTTATCAATAACGTCAAAAATTCTGTCATTGAAAAAGAAGATAATTTAAATATGGTAGGCTCCTCTTTTAAAATTGTGAATACTTTTCCTATGTTAGCTGGGGAGGGAAGAATGATGACAGAGGGAAAAGGTGAGTGAACTGAACCTGAGGAGAGAAATGAGAAGGTGAAGCTAGGCTGATGAATAAGCCATCTCTTGGTCTTTGGAATTCACTCAAAAAAAGAATCCATGCAATGGATGTAATTTCTTTATATGCTGAGTATATACTCAATTTCTTGAAATGAGAATTTAATCAAGCTTCTTTAATGAAACCTTACCTTTAGGCAAAAAGAAAAACAGAAAGACTCCAAACAGAAAGCATTAAATAAATGAAGAAAATCAATACTATCACATCTTTGTGCTTCATAGTATCACATAAAAGGCACATACATAGCTATGCTCTCTTCCAAAGAAAGTAAGTTAAAGGTAAGAATCCATATTACTCTCTCACCCACACTAACTCTACAACTAAAAGGTACTTTGATGATGCTACTTCAATTTCTCATCAGAAGAAATATCCTTTAGTCTAGACCTTGAGGTTAACTCATCCTAAAGAAAAGATTCATTCTAGGAATCACCTGCCCTGTCAGATGACAGTTTACATTTTTAAGGTTTGAAGGGCAACCATTACTTGAAACTCCACCAGAAGGGGTGCATTCCTGTTTGTAATACAACACCCCTCCCTGATGTTTCCTTTTATAGGACAGTTTGGAGAGGAAACCTTAACTGATCAAAGAAATGGTTACTGAATGTACACACTATGTGCCAGCACATGCTCAGAGCTGTGGCGTTACCAGAAGAAATCAACAACACGGTCTCTGCTCCCAAGGAGCTCACAATCTGATGAAATTACTAGGGACACCAAAACAAGCCGGCATAATACATGATTTAAGGGCTACAGTGTATGATTCTGATTTAAGTTCTTTTCACATTGCTGTGAATAAATTTATCACAGTTCTTCCACTGCTGGAAAACAGGGCAGCACAACAGGACAGAAATAGGAAATGGGAAGGTAACATATAAAGAGAGGAAAGCCAATGTGCCCCACTTAGAATCACGAACCAACGCTCCACAATTTCGCATAGAGTGCATCCTGCCAGTTTAGCATCCGGGACAACTACAGTATTCATTAAAATCTTTTAACACTGAAGGTGGTTCTCTAAATCCTGCAGGGTTGAGTGTCAGAGGAAAGATCGTCTGGGGAATTAACACCAGAGTCATCTTCCTGATTACAAACCTGGCTCTTGGGCGGAACGCAGGCACCCAGCGCAGCACGCCCGCCAGTCCGCTGCTCTGCCTCCGGGAGAGAGGGGCACCGTAGCTAGGAAACCGGACCCTTAGAGCTTCACGATGACGTGCGAGGGACGACACAAACCCCCAGGCCCCAGAAGAGCTCCGCACCCAGAAAACCAACAAGAGTCTGGAAAGGCCAGAAACCCGCGAAATCACCACTCGAGCTTCCCCCAATAGTCCTGCCCACTTCCCCGCCGCGGAGGAAACTGGCACCCCGCCCACTGCAGCTCGGCCCAGGCGGCGCGCGAGTGGAGAACTACGTTGAGGGGTGTCGTCCCGCCCATCCCGAGAGTGCCCGCGGGAATTTTTTTTTCCCGCCTGCCGGGAGGCGCGCTTCCCCTGCTCGGTTAATAAACCATTAGCAGCCTGAGCGAGAGCGAGTCCCCGCCCCGAGCTGGCCCCGCGCCGCCCCACGCCCTCACCTTTCAAAGCTCCTCGGCCTTTGCCTCCGCCCCAGGTACCCACTCCAGACTGGCGACGCTCCTCCTCCTTCCGGGGACCAGGGGAAGTCCCGCCTCTGGGAGGAGCAAGGGGCGGGGCCGGCAGCGGGAGGGGGCATCTTCCGGGAGCGTGTGCTGGGGGAGGAGCGGTCGCCGCGCGTTAGTCAGGGAGCGGTGCGGGTCCTGGTTCCAATTGAGGTGGGGAGAGGGGCCCGGCGGGCTGTGAGGGGCCGGGAGGACTGTCCAGGCTAAGCCCCGCGCGGGGAAGGGTGGCTTGCGGTGGAAGGGGTTGGCTTCTGGGGAAGAAATCAAACCTAACCGTTCACTTGGGGAAGGGGGCTAGTCCCCGACTCCCTGGTTCTTCCGCACTCTGCAGTAACTTTGGGGTGTGGCAGGGGCTAGTGACCGGCGTTTACTCCGGATCAGGGCGTGAAGGAGGTTTGTGATCACGATGGGGTTATAGTCTTTAACGCGGCCACTGGGGGAATAAAACAAATGTTTGTAATCCGGATTATCCGCGGTGGCTTGGGGCCTCCTCTACTGCCCATCTAAGTTAAAGGCCTGTTCCCTCAAACTTCCTCCCAGAGCTCTCATCTTCCCCTGCCGTCTCTTTGCCGGCCAAGCACATCCGGGGACGGGGCCAGGGCCACCAGGTTCCTGGTAAGGTTGAAAGACTGAGCGTGGAGGACTGTTAAAGTGAGTCTGTGTGAAAGAAGGAAGGATTTTGTAGATTGCTTCAGAGGGAGTGTGGGGTGAGGCCGTGAGTCCCAGAGCCTCAGCATGTCCGGGAAACGGAAGCGGGTGGTGTTAACTATTAAAGATAAGCTCGATATAATAAAAAAACTTGAAGACGGAGGTTCTTCCAAACAACTGGCAGTGATTTATGGAATTGGTGAGACAACAGTTCGGGATATAAGAAAAAATAAGGAAAAGATTATAACTTACGCAAGCAGTTCTGATTCCACAAGTCTTCTGGCCAAGAGGAAATCTATGAAACCATCCATGTATGAGGAACTGGACAAAGCAATGCTAGAATGGTTCAACCAGCAAAGGGCAAAAGGGAATCCCATATCTGGACCGATTTGTGCAAAAAGGGCAGAGTTCTTCTTTTATGCTTTGGGAATGGATGGTGATTTCAACCCCTCCGCTGGTTGGTTAACTCGTTTTAAGCAGCGGCACAGCATTAGAGAGATTAACATTAGAAATGAAAGATTAAATGGAGATGAGACTGCTGTGGAAGATTTTTGTAACAACTTTCGAGACTTTATTGAACGAGAGAATTTACAGCCTGAGCAGATCTACAATGCAGATGAAACTGGACTCTTTTGGAAATGCCTACCATCCAGGACTTCTGTGATCAAAGGTAAATGCACTGTCTCGGGGCACAAGTCAGTTGAAGAAAGAGTCACTATCATGTGTTGTGCCAATGCAACAGGTTTACACAAACTGAAACTTTGTGTTGTGGGGAAAGCAAAGAAACCTCGCTCCTTCAAGTCAACTGACACCTCAAACCTGCCAGTTTCTTATTTCAGCCAAAAAGGTGCATGGATGGATCTTTCCATTTTCCGACAGTGGTTTGATAAGATCTTTGTGCCACAGGTTCGAGAATACTTAAGATCTAAAGGCCTGCAGGAAAAGGCTGTGCTCTTGTTGGATAATTCACCAACACATCCAAATGAAAATGTCCTCAGGTCAGATGATGGCCAAATATTTGCTAAATATTTACCACCTAATGTGGCTTCATTGATCCAGCCCTCGGATCAGGGAGTCATAGCGACAATGAAGAGAAATTATCGTGCGGGTCTTCTTCAGAACAACTTGGAAGAAGGTAATGACCTGAAATCATTCTGGAAGAAGCTAACTCTGCTAGATGCACTTTATGAAATAGCAATGGCATGGAATTTAGTAAAGCCGGTTACCATTAGCAGAGCATGGAAGAAGATTCTTCCTACCATAGAGGAGAAAGAAGGCTTGGACTTTGATGAAGAAGATGTTTCTGTGGCTACTGTGGCCACCATTTTACAACATACCAAAGGACTGGAAAATGTGACTACTGAGAACATTGAAAAATGGCTTGAAGTGGACAGTACTGAACCAGGCTATGAAGTGTTAACTGACAGTGAAATCATCAGAAGAGCACAAGGCCAGACTGACGAATCTAGTGAAAATGAGGAGGAGGAAATAGAACTGATTCCAGAGAAACATATTAATCATGCAGCTGCTCTCCAATGGACTGAAAATTTATTGGATTATCTAGAACAACAAGGTGATATGATTCTGCCTGATAAACTCGTGATACGTAAACTTCGAGCCACCATCAGAAATAAACAGAAGATGACAACCTCAAGTCAATAATGGCATGTCATTGTTAACCATTGTTTTGGTAATTGTGTTTGTAACTCTTAATCTCTGCAGTGTGATTTAATTTTCTTTGCGTTCTTAATTCTCAGTCACAGCCCTATGAAGTGCAGATACAAAAATGTATCTGAAGTGGTTCGAGGATTATGTTTTGCATCATCTCTGTGTCTTTATTTGTGCAGATAATTGAAAGCTGATTCTGTATAGATATAAATTACATATACACAGGTATTCACTTTTGTAGATCTGCAATTACCCCTTCTATTACAGTGGCATTCCCTAAACTTTCTAAAAAAAAATTACAGATAACAGTGAACAGATTGAGCATTTTCCTGAAATCTGTTGTTTGGTTTATGAGGGCTGCCACAGTAATCTTTTCTTGTGTTAACTTCTTAAATGTTAACGTTTTGTGTATCTGTATACACTGACAGGATGAGAAATATTTTAGATTTCAGGTTGATCTGCAATAATTAAAAGAAGTCCAATAATGAGGAAACTGATCAATGAATTATAAAAATAACTTAGAAATCATACTTTTGTTCTCTTACATTTGTTTATGTGGCAAGAGGGGGAGATTTTTCTGGAAGTAAATATATAGGAAGTGATTACTAAATTAGTAAGAAAACTATTTGAAAGCTGATATATAAATGAGCTATTCTGTTCTATTCATTTGTAGAAAACTGGGAGTTGAAAATTTGGGGAACTTTAGGTTATTTATACAAGGGGAATAAATAGGCTTGTTTTAATTGGGTCTTATATTATGAATTGGGTAATTATTTATTCGTAATTATAGTACAGGTTTTGTAATGTTATATGTGGTAATACGAACTCCCACCTTATATGTGGGGAAGAACCTTGGGAATTTAAAGTTATGTTTTTTTTACTGTGTACTTGGAAATGTCTATAGTTTGAAAAAGTTTATCATACCTTCCCCTTTGATATGAAAAAAAGAAATGAGAAGAATAAAGTTATTATTATTTTTAACAAGCCATAGGTTGTGACCTGTTTTATGAAGAAAGCAGAAATAATTATGGAAAGTGCCAGATTCTAAGGACTTTAATTTACTCTTTTGACACTTGTAAAAAGGTATTCTTTCTTTTAGAATCCATTTAAGTCAGATTTTTGATAAATTTGCTTAGTAAATTTAATGTTTATTCAAGACATTGAAAAGATTGTGAATATTGATTTAATCTGTAATTTAAAAGCAGAAAAGCAGTGGGTCTCCATATTATTTCATGTTTTGGCCCTTTAAAAAATGTTCTCCATCAGTCATTTTTTTTAAGTTTTAACTGTTTCATTGAAATATTTTGCATTTTATATTTATAGTGCCTTTCTTAGAATTCTAAGACTTCAAGGAGACTTTTAGCTTCCCTAATTTCTGTTATCTTAATGATATATGTCCAGATTTTTTTTAAAAGACTTCTGTGATGACAACTGTTTAAAAATTATTGCATGAATTGCCTCAGTGCACAGAGGAAAAAGCATCAGAAACTAACATACGTATTGAATTAGATAATTATCCATCCTGCTATAAATTCAATTGTATATAAAAGAATTTTTCATTTTTCTAATATGAAAATGTATAAAAGCTTCTTGGAATTTCTGTCTGGATTTGCTCAATTTTAAAAATTGATCTTGTCAGTGAAATTCAGCTGTATCGTTGCCACCTAGTGGTAAAATTAACATTACTGTTAAGCTGTGTGGTTTTAAATATTAATATCAAGTAAAAGGTTCACTGTTTTGTGGCCTTGAGTGTGAATCTTGTGACTCTTTCTCTAGCCTGTGAGAGACTGCTCTTGTTTTTTAGATTTATAGCTATTTTCTCTTTTCTAAAAGCTGCCAACACTGGTAGGCTGTAGTTCTGTTTTGGACCGTTTTATCCTTAAGCGTAAGTATAAAAGCTGCCAATTATTGAATACCATGTTGTGTTCTAAGCAATATACTTATATAATCCTCAAATCATGGTGGAAATACTGATGCTCAGCTCATACTCTTAATTGCTGAAGATCACTTGGGTACAGGTAAGAATTTAAGCCCAGATATTTGATGCCAAAAGCCTTGCTTGTATTATCCAACCTAGGCTAACCTCTTAACATTTTCCAGTCTTCAAAATGTATTTCCTGCCACCAGCCCCACTCCCCCCACCCTTCACGGATGTCTGACTTTACTTCTCTGTACACTTGTGGCAGCAACTGCCCTTTCCTTTACTCTTTTATGAAGTTAGTCTTCCTCTTTCATTACCCTATAGTTCATTTCCGTTTATCCCCAACCTAATAGCATTTGAAACTCGAATCATTGTCTTTTGATTTCTGGTTAGCCATGCTCAGTGAGGATCCTTTCTCACTTAAACAATTTAAAACCCACCACTGAGAAAATAAACAGGTCATGAGAACATTTCTCTTTAGTTTATGAGACAATCTCAAAGAGATGCGAGGAATTGGCACAGTATTGTACCAACATGAAAGTCTTGTTAGACCAAAGATACTGAAAACTGCTACTCTGAAAACCACATGAGTATGTATATACTCAGATTCATATAGATCAAAGGGGGAAAAAAAAACAAATGAGATGATAAGGGGAAGAGAAGGAAGGATAGGTTGAAATACAAGAAGAGTTGGTTAGAAAAGAAAAAAGAAACGTGGGCTGCAGTGAGGTTAATTTTGTAATAATGTGTGTCTCACCATCATAGTCCCAGGCTTACTAATATGTGTTGCTCATTCATAGATGGTCCCTGGAATCTTTGCTTTTATTCTTTCTTACAGAATGTTTAAAAGTCAGTGCCAAGTTAAATGCATTTGATCACTAGTTGGGAATGGTTAGTGGATGATGACGGAAACTATTTGGGTACTATATCTGCCCCAAAGTCATAAATCCTTAGTTCCTGATTCCTAGTCCCTTCACGTCCCACCAGAGGCTGTTTGGCTTTCAATTTCTCCATTAAGAAATTAGCCACAGAGGTACCTGGGTGGCTCAGTCAGTTGAGCGTCTGCCTTCTCCTGGGGTCGTGATCGCAGGGTCCTGGGAAGGAGCCCTTCATCGGGCTCCCTGCTCAGTGGAGAGCCTGCTTCTCCCTCTGCCCCTCCCCCTGCTCATGCTCTTTGTTGCTCTCATTCTCTCTCTCAAATAAATAAAATCTTAAAAAAAAAATAGAAATTAGCCATAGACCTAGTTTTCTCACCAGTCTTGCCAGGTTTTCCCATTGATGAGCCTCAATAAAGCAACAGCTCTCAGAAAACCCATCTGTACATTACGATGTTTCTTTAAACCCATACTCCTAGTAGCCAAGAATTGTATGAGAGTAGGTTTATGGGCAGGAAATTAGGAGCTTACTTTTTATGAGAGATTTGGACTTTTTGGGGGTGGATGGTGAGGGAAGTGGAATTCTTTGCCAGGTGTAAATTTAGTGAATCAAAAATTGGTTGGGCCTTAGTATATGCATAAGACTACTGGGGGTGGTGTGTTTAGGAAAATAAAAAGAAGAGTGGTTCTTGTCCTTAAGGATCTTGAAATTAAGGTGGAAAAATGACATTTGAAAAAATAAAAAAACATCTGTTCAATTGTAAACTCAAGTAATAATACAGCCAACATGATGTGATAAGGACTATGTGAAGAAACCATCATGATTTATTTTGCTTATCCATTCCTTCGCTGGCTTGTACTTTGTATACCGTTTACATTTTAAGCTTTTCTTCGTTCTTGTTTGTTTTTTTTTTAAGATTTTATTTATTTATTTGAGAGAGAGAGAATGAGAGACAGAGAGCACGAGAGGGAAGAGGGTCAGAGGGAGAAGCAGACGCCCCGCTGAGCAGGGAGCCCGATGTGGGACTCGATCCCGGGACTCCAGGATCATGACCTGAGCCGAAGGCAGTCGCTTAGCCAACTGAGCCACCCAGGCGCCCTTTCGTTCTTGTTTTTTACTGATCCTGAGTGACCTCATCCATTTCCATTACCTGCATGCTTAGGACCCCAAATCTACCTCCAGTCGCTGTCTTCAGAAGTCCAAATTTGTATCTTCAATTGAGAAGCAGGATTTAAGTTTGGAAGGGAAATTAAAATTGTTGCTTTTCTTCCCGTCTGTAGTATACTCTCCATTAAGCATTCTGATGTCAGAGGTACCTAGATGGGCTAAGGAGTTGAAATAATTTTTTAACTGAATGTCAAATTAAGCTTATCTTCCTTGGTCTAAAATAGCAAAACAGATAATTATCTATTTTCTTATCTCTGTCCTCCTTCTTAGTTAGCCTTTTCTGATGTACATACATGCCTTTGCCTCTGACCATTCCTTCCCACAGGCAGCCATAATGCTTTCTGGTTTTGGTATCCTTGTTGCTACTCAAGTATTAAAATTTAGTTTGTCATGTTCCAACCCCTAACCTCCTAAAATGACCACCATTTATATTCTTTACACCAACCATATGCCTTAGAAATGTACTCTGTTTTCCTCAGTTTGGGCAGTGGCAACTTCCCATAGTAACTAGGCTTATGCAATTAGAAGCGGGGTATGAAAGAATGCCCAGAGAGTTCTGGTCGCTGGGGACACCTAATAATGCGAAAACTAGTGTCCGTAAGACCTTGGAGCCCGGTCTTGAAGACTTGTAATATATTGTGAAGTGATTTTTGCAATCTGTGTCTCTTAATACTGGATTAGGAGATGAAGGCTCAATGCAGAGTAGTAGACATTCAACAAATGTGTACTCAGCAAACACTAATTGTATACTTTCTCTGTGTAAGACATGTGTTAGGCAATGTATGGGATACATGGATAAGACTATCCGCTTCAAGAGATTTATATTAGAGACATGTAGAAAAGGGAGAGAATTAAGTGTTACAGTGTTGATGGAATGCAAAGAAAACACTCATAAAATCTGATATGAGTGACATAAAGCAGTATAATCTGATAGGAGTAGAGTCATAACAATTGAGTTGGTCTTGAAAAGCAACTGAATTTTTCATTTCGATTTTATTTGTCTTCAGTCATTGCCAAATGTCCTCCAGGGGGCCAAGTCATCCCCACTTGGGAACCACTGCTGTAGAGCTACAGGATCACAGGTACTTGGTTTGCTTTCCAAGTTACTGAAGGTAATATTTATAAAATATTTCTACCACTATCCCAAATTACACAGCCTTTGGTATTTATTTCCCTGATGCCCGCTTCCTGATCACTGATTTAATGCCACACACTTGAGATTTTTGTCACAGCGACACCCCACTTCAAGGTACCCATTTCTCTATTGATCTGGGTGACTCTAGCTAATGAAACACCTCAGAATTTTAGAGATTTACAATAATGTTTTTCTCTCAGCAGTTTTGTGATGATAAAGGACTTAGTTGGAGCATGACTCTTCTTTAAGTAGATTCATGGACCTAGGCTCCTTCTGTCCTGTGATTTTGCGTTTACTAGACTCTTAAAAATCTTCTGCATCTAGTTAGCAGATGGAAAAAGAGAGAGAATGAAGAATATACCCTGCTTCTTAGAAACTTCCTTTTCTCAGAAGTGATATACAATTTTTCAGTTCACATCCTAATGTTAAGAACTAATCACCTGGCCCTACCTTCATACAGGCAATGCTTGAGAGTGACTCCCTAGCCAGGCAGCTGCTTCCTAGTGACAACTTTATACTCTGGAAGGGGAAGGCACACTTTAGTGGAAAATTAGCCCTTTCTGAAACAAAAACAGTGGCAATTATTCTTATAAAATCATCTAAGGAGCCTTAACAAAGAATATCAGTGCATGAGTCCTACTCTAGGATCTGATTTAGTCTACGGTAGTTATAATGGGTTCTTGTTTTTTGTGTTTTGTGTTTTGTTTTCAAGTTTCCACATATCTCTCAATATGCAACCAAGGTTGAGAACCACAAGATTATGAATTTGCAAGGTGAGCAGAGTAGAAGATGTGGAGACAAGAGACTAACAGGCTCCTCTGATGGACCATGAGGTCAAGCCTATGTATAGCGGCAGAGTAGTAAAGAAGCTAAATAAGAAAGCAAATTAGCATGTATATGCATCTGTGTATCTTTGTAGGGGTAACTATGATATCAGAGGAGAGACCATGGAACTTGGAAGCAGAAGACCAGTATTTAAGTCCTAGTTTTACCATTTTTCAGTTCCAGAATTCCTAATTGGTTCTTTTTCATAAGTGCCTATCCTTTCATGTATAAAAAAATCTTATTATTTAAGTGTATTAATTTTACTTATTTGAAAGTTACAGTTTGAATTCTCGTCAATCTCTGACTGTTCTCTAACATTTACTGAGTTTGTGGTCTTTCATAGAGTTGGTACTATGCCAATACTTGGACATTGTTAATTGTGCCTTCCTCATGGAGTTGAGATTACCTGAAAGACTATGGTCTCTGCTTATACAGCACATATTGTGGGAGGTATAGAAACATGCTAAAGTTTGGTCCGAGCCATTGATAGTGAGACTAGGAAGTGGACATTATAACCTGCCAGATGGGGACCTTAGGAGTTTGTTTTCTGAGCTTGGATGCTCCCCATTCCTTCTGACTTTACCAGCTACCAGGGGCATTGTTCTATTAATTACCCCAAGCTCCTTCTTGAACACAGGCATAGTTTTCTCCTGTGCCTAGCCTGGAAAGTGGCAGTTGTGTGCCTGGATCCTTACATCAGGCCTCTTGTTGGTTTTATCTGGACTTATGCTTCCAGCTTTCACCACTTTATTATGTGGAATACGATTTTCTTCTACATGATTTATGGCTCTCCAAAAGTTTATCTTCTTGTTTTTAGGATGGCTATACTTGCTTCTTTTTAAATTTTATGTTTTTTTCTTATAATGTATGTGATTGATGTAAGATGAGAATAAAGTATCTAATGTCTCCATTTATCCTGATATCAAAAATCCTAGCAGTGTGATCTTGGGTGAATCTCTAAGTTTCTCTGAGTCTCAT